TTTAAGACTTAATCTCGACAAGGAACATTTAACACATTTCTTATTTGTTTTGTCTGAAACAATAATAATTTAATTTTTTTTACTTGGTTCACTTGAAAAACACAACTATAATCTATCCAAAAATAGGCAGAAAATAACATTAACAATTCTAGTGCAAAATGGGAAAGGTTAAGTTTATACCATTTTTTTCTTTCAATAATACATTTGTGCCACACTCAGATATAAAGCTTCTGCTCTGTGCTCAGCTGTAGGCACAGTGTAAATCAGAGAGTGTAATACTGCAGTGAGTGTTCATTAAAAAGTTTGGCACTCTTTGGACTCTTCTTGTAGAAAATAAAGATAATACAAATAAATTGTGGATAATGTAGTTAATCAATATATTAATTTTGAACATAAATAAATGTGATGTGAAATGTGAAAACCATAGCACACAGACCGCCTGAGTCAGATGATGGTTCCCCAGGAGCTGCACTACAGTAACCACTCCAGACAGGGTGCATTAGTGGCATTGAAGGATGGGTCAAACACAGAGAACACATTATAATGTAGTTATAACTGCAAATGGATGAATGTAATAACTATGTCATCATGGACTCATTTTTAGATATGAATTATTTTACTAAATCTCTAAAATATTTTGCTCTGTTAAAGATGCTGAAACATTTGCCTTTGATGCAGGCCCTTATTAAATCAAACCAGCCTGTTCAAAATGTTGCTGCTCACATTATATCTTTGTTAACAGATATGTTTTAGTCTCACTGTGGAACGAATAAAAAAATAATTGAGTACTGCATGTCTGAAAAGCCATTCATAGTCTGGCATATATTGCTTGTGCTTTATGAAACTGAGCGTCTCAGATTCAAGCCATTCCATTCTCCCATTATGTTTAAGAGTAAACTAAAGATTCACATGATTGGATAATCTTTTCTTTAGACTTTTAGATGTAACTCAGTTTGTTAAATGGTTTGTCATCTTTCACTGTCAAACTATCTCTGTTAAAGTAGCAATATGTTATATTTGCATGTCAAGTCATCATTAAATGGCCCCAATATTTCAAAAGGCATTATTAAATCATGCTCTTTTCGAATACATCTTTAACTGATAACAGTTGTTCACCCGAGATATTTGAATATTAAAAATAGTTTTACGACCAGTAAAAGTTTTTATTGTTTTAATTTCGATGTCCCGCCCTCCGCCGTTTCGCCAATCAGGAAATCTGTGATCCGTGTTGCCAGAACTCCCTGCGGCTAGCTAATCTCACTGGTAAAATAAAATGTGGCCGCAGTACTAAAAGAGGTCTTGTTATGACTCTCAAATCATTAATGACTAAACAAAGACTAACATTTTTTCCCCACCGCTGTCAGACTGTACAACAAGTCACTGCACTATGACACTTCTTTCTTGGTTGCCACTTTCTAAGTAAGTAATCTTTATTTATGTACCGCCTTTCTAATTGCCACTTTTTGTACATAATACAGTATGTCCTGCATTAACATGTTGCACATTTCTTACTTTTTGCACAATTCTTGAGTGTTCCTATCCTTAAGTAAATTTCTCCTGTGTGAGATTAATAAAGTACATGTTATCTTATCTTATCTTATGAGGATTTATATCAGGACGCTTAAGAAAAATTTAGAAAATTGAAGGCGGATAAAAACTTTTTGTGTGATACAAAACTTGCTGCATTGAGAGCGTTCTTCATTGACAGTTGAACAAACTGCCTGGAATCCTAAAAAGTTGTTTGTAATGTTGGTCGAATGGTTACGTTGTAGCGCTTGCACCTCAGCATCGAGGGATCTAGTTGGGCGAGATGTGTTTTGGAATAAACTATTTAACATCATATGACAGCTTGCTCAAGAACGGCAAAAGGAAAAACAAGCCGTTATTTGCAGATTAAAGCTTAATTGTAATAAGAATCATTTGAAACCACATGAACCCCTATTAAAATAATGTGCTTTTTGATGTGGGACTAAAAAAGAGGGAATACAAAAAATGTAAGGGATATTATTAGGAGGAAACCCTGATGCTGATATGCTGAAGAAATATGTTCCCACATCCATTCTTCCCACTCCTATTTTGGAGATCAAGTGCTTATTTATTTTGCATAATCAATGTATAATTACATTGCTTTTATTTTGTTTTCCTCATTTCAAATATTAAAAAACACGGCTATCATGGCAATGTGAATGGAGACAGACAAACAACTGATGAAATAATTCCTTGTGTTTGTTGCTGGATTTGGTGTGTATCTGGCAACCTGAGTCAGGGAGAGTGGGAGAGGACTACAAAATATTGACTGCGACTGCAGTAGCACTTTTGGCCAGATTTTTACATACTGTTTCTTTAAGCACAATAAAGTGCATTAATGTCAGATATGTTTTCCTGTCCTTTATAGTTTGGGCCACTGAAGCTGTTCTCATCACAGCGTTTGTAATCATGCTTTATGTTTTATGAACAAACACAAATGCTCACAATTTAGCTGACATATTCAGGTTAAACTTTTAACCTTGAATATTCTGCTTTACTCCTTGTATGCACTCAATTGGATAGCTTCAGACATTTACTATTACTGTATATTTTGTACGGACAGATTTTGTCATAGCAGCAGCTTTAATTGCTGCTGGTTGTGAGTTTGGGAACATTCTGTACTTTGTGTTTTATGGAGCAGCACTGAGGAGGACTGACTTACGACCCCCCATTACTTACATCATAAAATTGTGTCAATAAGCGCTTGTAAGTCACACAACATTACCCACAATGCACTACTCTGGGGCAGAAGGAGCGAATATAATTGTGTGGTGATGTGACACCACATAGCCACCAGCAGGAAATGCAAAGTGGTATAAAGTTTTCTCTATTCCCCTCCCTGGGTCTATGCCATGCAAACTTCTGCCTTCCAGTATCCCCACCATGAGAGCACAGGTAGCTTTTGGACTATTTTAGTGCTCATACTTTATTATACTTTATGCACTGTTTGTCATGCTACTTTTGCCTGACTCAGCTGCCTGCCCTTTATGTTCTTAGATCCAGGGCTGGGCCGGGACTTTAGTGCACAACGGCCTACTGACCGCACACAATGCTGCTGTGCCAAAGGGTAGGTTAGGTAAAGGTAAAGGTGCACTTTATTGATCCCCGTAGGGCAATTCATCCTCTGCATTGACCCATCCTGATGGCACTAAGGCTTACGTCAGGTACTTCTTGGATTTACGTCAGGAGCACCTCCATATTAGCGCGGCCTGAAAGGGAGGTGCAAAGGGGACAAAGTTTTGCTCCTCACTCATTTTGGCTCCATTCACTTTTATTAAGAAGAAAACTATACTGTATCCATATTGGGTGACGCTAGCTCCGTCCCAACAGTGGGTGTGTGTGGGGGGCGATAGCTTCGTGGGTGCGGGGAGGGAAGCAGAAAGAGCGAGGCCAGCGAGTCCGCGGCTTCAAAATCCCAAGGTCAGTTAGTGCAGCTTTAATCACGTAAATCGTTATATGTCCATTACCTAAAAAAATATCGGAAGTATTCATCTCAGATTTTGGCTGCAGCTCGCGAGTCGCACAAACGGGAATAGACCATCGCTGCTCCTGATCTCACAGAATAGTGAAAAACAGAGTACCACCCTCACTCAGCTAATCAGATTACAGCCCAAAGCATAAAATAGGTGATATAGGGTCATGGAGCCCTGTGAAATATTGAGACTTTTCTGGCAACTGTGATGGAAGTGTGATGAAGCTTCAACACTATGTCAGTCTGGCTTGAAACACTGACATCTGCAGAACTAATTTTATCATTGCAGCTTTTTACAAGAATGAAAAAGATGTTTTCTACTGTTCTGGTGGCCCGGGAAATAGGGCTTTTCTAAAGTGGAGTTTGCATGTTCTCCCCATTTCCTCCGGCTGCTCCAGTTTCCCCTGTGGCGATCACTGCCCCTGACAGGTTTCCCTATAGTGTATGGTGGCAGAGCAGGATAGACCCAGAGGACAAATTTCCCTAAAGCGATAGCACCTCAAATACAGCATGTTGTTATCTGATGTGATTCTTTACAAGACTCTTTCTGATTGGGACAAAAAAAAGAATGACCAAAAAAAGTTAACTTTAACTGGTAAGAGTACAATAGTAAGAGTGCTATCAAGGTATTTAAAGATTAAAGCAATGCAAATGAATTACCATCCCTCCTGATATTCTTGTCACGTTGGAAAACAAGCATCCTGAATTGTTATTCACAGACTCAATTTGCGTCTCTCTAATTTAGTGTTAAGTCTTCCGTGCACAGAGCCCTTTATGAGACCAACAGCTGTGGGCAGGAAATCGATCAGCCCAGTCATTCTGCTGTTGTTTAAATTAGTGAAAAGACTTTGGGGTTTGAAGATGAGGCGTTGAGAGAGCACATTTATTAACATTATTGGAGAAGGTTGCGTTCATGGAAAACTTAATTTAAGTAAATCTTAACAGGCTGCAAATGAAGGAAACTGACATGGATTTAAATAACCTCCCAGGAAAGGACAGGGTGTAAACCAGGAGTTAACCCTGTCAAACATTGGAGGAAAGAGCCAGATGATCAATTATTTGCTTTGCGTCATCTTTAAAATCCAAGCTATTTTTATAATCGCTAAGGAATAGGAATGAGAATGAAAGAACAAGCTTCATGTAAAGCAGAAAACAAATCAATGCACTGTTCTAAGATTCAACGCACAGCTTCCCGTTGGACGTTATGCTCATGTTTTTAATAATGCCGTCACTCATTATTAAAGGTGCAGCAATTATAATCTTATCAATTAATAAAAACATTTTATAAACCAAATAATCCATAGGTTAGTGTTTTTTTATGAGTGAGTGAGTTGATGAAATTAACTTCCATTGGAACTGCTGAACATTGACTTTTGTATTCACTATTCATTAAAGTATCTAACTATGAATATTTCAGGCCCACAATACAATAAAAATAAATATAATTATGCTTTAAATATACAGAAATATGATTACTATAATTACACACTATGGTTGTTTATACTGCAGCTCTGCAGGCTTTTGTGGATGCAGTGGCAACAGTTTACATTCACTGGCCATTAGTTGTGATTGTGTGTAAAAATACACACTTCTACGCTCTGAGCCCCACATGCATTGTCCGAGATGCGCATGCATACGTGTGAATGGCCTTTAAGCATCTTAATCCACTCATTAATGAAGTCTCCATATCAAGGAAACCTAAGGTTTTGCTTGTGTCTGCTTCAATGGCGAGACAACAAAGCTTTTTCATAATCAACATTGTTGTTACAGCCATGCTCACTATATCTGGATATTTATTAAACAACAATTAAATACTGCCCTGTACTTGACCAAAGTCAGTGTAACACAGGAACCATCAACTATGAATGAAATACATGAAGTTGAAGTCGGTGGACGCCAGGAGACAGAGACTAACCCTGTTCTAACCCTGTTCATAACCATACCTGCTCTCTGCTCACCTGTCTGATCCGAGAGGAAGTGCTCTCCCTGTCTGCAGGTCAGGTCTTGGATTGGTCCGTCCCCGCTGCAGTTCCTGTGCATCAGAAACCCTCCTCCTGCAGCATCCCCTGCTCCAGCTCTCATGTCACCGCCCATGATGCTGCTGTGGTTACTGTTGCCCAGATAACCCCTGTTGTGGTACTTCCTGGGGCCGCTCCCGCCTGCCACAGAGTTAACCCCGCCTTCTCGGTTCACGTTGGCTGGTTTGGCCAGTGACACCTGCAGAAACAAAAAAATATATACATCATAGTTACCATGGTGACATAAGCAAGGTCTTGATCAGGGATGCCAAACTCATTTTGATTGGAGCCAAAAGGTTTATTTAGACCAGGGGTGTCAATTATTACGGCCCGTGGGCCAGATCCAGCCTGGCAAGAGAATTGATACGGCCCTCGGCTCATTTATGTAAAATGATAATTATAATAAAAAAAATCATGACATGGAATATCAGTCATCATGTTCTCTTGCCGTTGATAAGAGACTGATTTTACTCATGTCACATATTCATTCATGCCGTTACTGAAACTTTCACTATCACAGAGGAGATTTTAGCGTTGGTGCCTGTGTTGGATACACAACAGCTGAGAACACTATCAGCGCTGGTGCTGTTGCTGTTGCGTTAGACAGAGTATGTGTGGACTGGTCCTACGCTCTCAGCCTGGTTCCGATGGTAAAGGCATTTGGACATTTGACTGTATTTTACACAGACACTGCTGCAGTTGTTAAGAATGGATCACATTATGAAAGTTTTGTTCATTTCAACTGAATGTATCATGGTTATGCTTTCTGTGACAATAACATAACCATGGACCTTACCACACTGAAGATGGTTAGGCTGAAGTGCTGTGTTGAAGGGCTTTTTTCTATCTACCTACTGTACCATTGTGAGCAAGTTTTGCCTGTAACGAGCCTTAATAAAGCTAAGGTGCACTCAAAACTAACACACAAATATTTGAAATTTGAAAAACTCAGTTACTTTTAAAGTGGTTCTCACCCCCGCTCCTCGGAGCTTACGTCACTCACATTTCCTGTTCAAATCTTCCTCTAAATGGGCGTAGCCTGGAGGACTAAAGGGGGCGTGAACGAGACTGGGCCGTTTATATTGCTCTGGGCGGGGGGCTGCTGACGTTAGGTCCAACTTGCAGACGTCAGGTCCAACTTCTGTGCCAGTGTTGGCGCCAGATTCAAAATTCAAATGTAGTAATACAGGTCGCCAGCAGATGGCGCCTCAAAGACGGTTTTAGGCAGAAAGTTTAACTTTCAACTAATTTGCACCAAAGTGAAACTACTATGACCAGGATATGTAGACAACACTATTGGACACTCATTTAAATCGTTTATCAGCAAAAAAAAGTGGATTTGAGGGTGAGTTGTCCTTTAAGTTAGTAGCAGATATACAGTTAAAACTGAGTGAGTATTAGACAGTGTTTTAAAGGAAGTTTTAAATAAATGTCATTAGGCTGCATTTGGCCCTGAGTTTGACACCCCTAATATAAACAATACTTTCATCTGTTGGTGGTCAAACTTTCCCATCAGGGAAAAAAATGGACCAAAAGTATTTCAACTAGTCATGGTATTATTGCTGTTATGGCCGGTAACAATAATTACCAATGTGGATACATACGTAATACACAAATGTTTGCATCTTTCAGTACCTGCTTCATGTGACGTGTACATTTATGCGCTATATATATATATATATATATATATATATATATATATATATATATATATATATCATGGAGAAGGCCAAAACGGATGACGTACTCAGTGAATGTCTCAGGCAGTGGCGAGATGAGGAGGTGCTGGAGGAGAGCCCATCATGGGAGAACAAGCCCCTACACGGCATGTACCACCGGAGCATAACAGAAGTGGCTGATCACAAGAAGTCCTACCAATGGCTAGAAAGGGCTGGCCAACAGGACAGCACAGAGGCACTCATCATGGCTGCACAGGAACAGGCCCTGAGCACCAGAGCGATAGAGGCCCAGATATACCACACCAGACAAGACCCAAGGTGTTGGTTGTGCAAAGAGGCACCTGAGACGATCCAACACATAACTGCAGGGTGCAAGATGCTGGCAGGGAAGGCCTACATGGAACGCCATAACCAAGTGGCTGGCATAGTGTACAGAAACATCTGTGCAGAGTATGGGCTGGAAACCCCAAGTGGGTCTAAGTGGGAAACTCCTCCAAAGGTGGTGGAGAATGAGCGTGCGAAAATCCTGTGGGACTTCCAGATACAGACCGACCGAATGGTAATGGCGAACCAATGGCGGTGGTGGTAGACAAAGGGCAGAGGACAGCCGTGGTGGTGGACGTGGCAATTCCAAGCGATGGTAACATCCGGAAAAAAGAACATGAAAAGCTTGAGAAATACCAAGGTCTCAGAGAGGAGCTGGAGAGGGCCTGGAGGGTAAAGGTGACAGTAGTGCCCGTTATGATCGGTGCACTCGGGGCAGTGACCCCGAAGCTAGAAGAGTGGTTACAGCGGATCCCCGGAACAACCTCGGACATCTCGGTCCAGAAATGTGCAGTGCTAGGAACAGCAAAGATACTGCGCAGAACCCTCAAGCTCCCAGGCCTCTGGTAGAGGACCCGAGCTTAGAGAAGGATAACCGCCCGCGGAGGGCCAAAGGTGAGTGGACAATTTTTTTTATTTTTATATATATATATATAAAATTCCAGTGTATATATAATATATATATACAGTTTATAAGATATATGCTGTATATATAAAACAGACAGACACATCAACATTCAAAGTTTCTAATTACTACTTTTAGACAGAAGGGACAGGTTCCTGATAGTAGCGTGGATTGAGCTAAAAACAACCCCTACAAATGTTGGCAGTATCACATGAAAGGCATCAATACTTGCTACTGGACTCCCATCATAATTACCACTTTAAAAACTAGTGACGGCGAGCGCTTCTACTGCAGTGATTAAAAATGCTGAACCTACATGAATATGCTCAGTGGGAGCATACTTAAATCACCAACTAATTAAAGCTAGAAGAGATCTTCTTATTTCTTTGTTTGTGGCAGGCGTATGAGAGTGGCGCTCTCGTCATGGGGGTGGACAGGAGGATGTTGGTTACTGGCAGAATAAAATAACACCCCATACAGACATGCTCTATCTCTGAACAAAATCCAGAACTACTTCAAAGATATAATTACTACATTGTTTACCACACACTGTAAAGAATTTCCTTGTAGAAAAACGGTAAAGCTGGCAAATATGGTTCCAGGAATATACCATTTTCTCAACATGGCATTACCGTTGCTATTTTTAACGGTTAAAGACTGTTTCACTGAATCACATTATACCTTTGTGATTTCAGGATTTAACTGTATGTTCCTGTTAATTCACATACAACAAAAACAGCATTATAATGTTAATGTAGTATAATTACACCATATGACTGTTTGTGTTTCTAATTAGTTTCATTGAACAAAAAACTACACAGTTTAATTTGTTTTACTTTAAAGAACACATCTTTTCAATTATTTTTTAACACCTTCAGTTTATACAAGAAAGTAGTTGAAATCTTTACTTCCATAACATGCTTAATGCAAAAGTATCTTTTTTAACTAAAGCAGGAGTTTACATGTGTAAAGGGGCGTTCACCGGACTTAACTTCGGCGTAAAAAGCGTCAGGTTTCCATTGAAAGTGAATGGTGAAGCGCGTCAGGTGAAGCCGAGAGCCTCGGCGTCACTTGACGCGCGTCAAAAGCTTCAAGAGTCGCGCGTACTACGCGCTCACTTGAAGCTTTTGACACGCGAAACGCTCGCGTATCACAACAATCCCTTTGACGCCGAAGTTGAGCAAAGCTGAGCTTTTGAAGCTTTGACGCGGGCTTCAACCAATCAGGAGACGAGGAGCAGCAGCAGCAGAGGGTCTGTCTCTGTCATGAAGAGAAGTCATGTATCTGCTGCTGCTGTTTTATTGTCATTATTGTTATTAGTAATATTATTTGTATGAGTAGTAACATTCTGAGTAACAAAAATCATTGTACACATGCTGTGTAGTAAACGTAGTTTATTTAATATAAGAACAGGCTGACGATGGGTCTGGCTCAGAGCAAGGCAGCTCCGGGCGGGCGAGAGCCGATGAGAGGCAGGGAGAGGCGAGAGCCGATGAGAGGCAGGGAGAGGCGAGAGCCGGGGAGAGGCAAGCGAGAGCCGATGAGAGGCAGGGAGAGGCGAGAGCCGGGGAGAGGCAGGGAGAGGCGAGAGCGAGGCGGGGAGAGGCGAGCTCCGGGGTTTGAGAACTCAGACTGGGCAAGTGACACGCAGCTCCTGGAGTAAATGACGGAACTCTGCAAACACTGCAGCCTCTCAAGTCTGTGGTGAACCCAGAACATGCTCAAAGCTCGTTGCTGTCTGACCATTTCTTGATCACGTTTGATCTCGATTTGGAGGACTTTCCTGTCCCGCAAGATAAAACCATAATGAAAAGAACCTTAAATGATAAATCTATCACAAGGTTCAAAGAACTAATACAGCCTATGTTGAATACTGCTGCAGGTGAACCTGTTCACAGCTGCTGCAGTCCCTCAGTCATTGACCAAACGGTGGACAACACTATGGAGTCTTTAAAATCTGCATTAAATGCAGCAGCTCCTTTAAAACAGAAAACTATTAGGATTAGATCATCGTCGCCCTGGTACAGTGTTCAACTCCACACTTTAAAACAGGACGTCAGAAAATTGGAGAGGCTATATCGCCACTCCCACTCGGAGCCTGTCCACAGGGAGTGGAAAGCAGGTCTCCGAAACTATAAAAATGCCCTTCGCAGGGCTCGAACTCAATACTATTCAACTTTAATAGAAGCGAATAAAAATAACAGTAGATTTTTGTTTAGCACCGTCGCTAAACTCACAAACTGCCATAGCGCAATCGAGCCTAAAATTCCAAGCTCACTGAGCAGTGTCGACTTTCTCCACTTCTTTAATAATAAAATTACATCCATCCGTGACAAACTGGAGGAGGTTACTCCGGCTGTTGGTAGTGGACAGGCTGAAGCGGCATACGTGACTTCCCACTTAGACTCTTCAGTGGGCCTCGATAAATTCATGGCTGTGAGCCAAGCAGAGGTGATCTCTGTGGTCACATCCTCAAAAGCCTCAACTTGCATGTTAGACGCAGTCCCGACATGGCTCTTCAAAGACATACTTCCTTTGATAATTGAGCCTATCGTAAATATAATAAACGCATCCATACAATGTGGCTATGTCCCACAAGCTTTTAAAACCGCGGTTATCAAACCCCTTCTGAAGAAAACAAACCTGGACCCAGAAATACTTACAAACTACAGACCGATCTCAAACCTCACTTTTATATCTAAAATCCTGGAAAAACTTATAGCTGAGCAGCTTCGCTGCCACCTGCAGGAAAATAATATGTTTGAAGTCTTTCAATCAGGATTCAGAGCTCATCATAGGACTGAAACGGCACTAGTCAAAGTCACAAATGACTTACTACTAGCTGCTGATAATGGACAAGTGTCAGTGCTGGTCCTACTGGACCTTAGTGCTGCATTTGACACAATAGACCACAGCATTCTACTGCAGAGGCTAGAATGTGATATAGGTCTTAGAGGAACAGCCCTTGGCTGGTTTAAATCCTATTTATCAGATCGGTATCACTTCGTCAACGTAAATCAGAACTCGTCACCTTATTCTGGAGTAGAATTCGGTGTGCCGCAGGGTTCGGTACTTGGACCGATTCTTTTTACTCTCTACATGCTGCCATTAGGAAACATTATTAAAAAGCATGGAATTAATTTCCACTGCTATGCAGATGACACACAGCTTTATCTGTCGATGAAGCCAAATCAGACAGATCAGGTGGAAAAGCTCAGTGCCTGCATAAAGGACCTTAAAATGTGGATGACTCTTAACTTCCTACTTCTCAACCCGGAGAAGACAGAAGTGATCCGACTCGGTCCGAAGCGCCTGCGTGACTCCCTCACTAACCAGATAATTACTCTCGATAATGTCAGTATTATACCCAGTAACACTGTGAGGAATCTTGTCACTTTTGACCAAGAACTCTCCTTCAAGGCTTATATAAGCCAAGCAACTAAAACGGCGTACTTCCACCTACGGAACATCGCTAAAATTAGGAATTTCCTTCCTAAAAGTGACGCGGAAAAACTTATTCACGCGTTTGTCACCTCAAGGCTCGACTACTGTAACGCTTTATTGGCAGCGTGCCCTAAAGCGTCTTTGAAGAGCTTCCAGCTCGTTCAGAATACAGCAGCTAGGATCTTAACAGGTACCAAAAGGAGGGAGCACATAACTCCGGTGTTAAAATCACTCCACTGGCTCCCTGTGGAGTACAGAATAAAGTTTAAAATCCTTCTCTTAACATATAAAGCCATAAATGGCTTGGCTCCTTCTTATCTCCAAGACACGTTAGTGTCGTATCAACCAAGTCGAGCGTTGCGCTCACAAAACGCCAGACGTCTGGTGGTCCCTAAGGTCTCAAAAATCACTGTTGGCGGCAGAGCATTTAGCTACCAAGCTCCTTTACTGTGGAATCAGCTTCCCATTTATGTTAAGGAAGCAGATACGGTCTCCACATTCAAGGCCAGGCTTAAAGCACTTTACTTTAATTTAGCATATAATTAGGTAATATATTATATATATTAGTATATTATGTTATATATTATGCTGTATGTTATGTTGTGTATTATATATGATATATATGGTATGTATGGTATATATGATGTATATGATATATAATATATAATTAGGTTTGCTTGGATCGGTTTGCACACCTGGTGTGCAATCCATGAATCTCTTTATTCAAGGCTAGGTTTAAAACAGTCCTCTTTAGTTTAGCATATGGCTAGGAAGGTAAGACTCAGGGAAGGCTAAACTCCTCAGACTGTCAGTCAAGCTGCATAGGGAGTCAGTTTGCTGGGAGAAGTATGGTAACTTGAGCACTATCCTCTCCTCCTTCCTACTTTATCTACTTTATCTGTTTAGCACTTTTAGGATTCTGACTGTAGTTTGTTCATTGCTATTCACCCGCTGTCCCATTGTCTGTTTCATGGTGTACGATGACGGGATCTCTGAGCCTGGCCTCCTTCATCTGCACCTGCGGACTGCCCCGCCCGACCCGCCTGGGAGTGCTTTGGTCCTGCACCGGACCTGTCCACGTTCAGCGGCCACTGGTCCACGTCCTGTAGCTAGCTTAGGTCCTAGATCATTAGCCTGTCCGTCCGGAGGAGCGGATCCCTTTCTCATATGGGTCTCCCTCCCTGTGGGTTTCCCTAGTGCTCCCCAAGGTTTCTCACTTTTTCCCACTGGGTTTTTTAAGAGTTTTTCCTTGTCGATGCAGGAGGGTCTTGTTGGACAGTTAGTGTCCAACAGAAAGGATTGGTGATGATCAGGACACTTTAGCATTCTACAACATGTATGGACATTTTCTTCTGTGTGTGCTTTATATTCTCCATGTGTTTAAACTGTTGATTCTCTGACCTGTGTTGGTGATTTCAATGGTTTTGTTAAGTCCTCTGAGATGACTTCTGTTGTGACCTAGGGCTATACAAGAATAAATTGTATTGTGTATTGTATTGTATTGTAACATGTTTTGTTGAAGCCCTACAACAACGTTATTTTGCTTTATATAACAAATAAAGGCTCGCTGCTCATTGAAAAATCCACCGCTGTCCTGACTACAGGCAACAGAGAAGCTCCTCCCACCGGCGTCAGGCGCGTCACTCGCGTCAAAAGCTTCAAGCACCCAAATGACAAAACTATCCCGGCGTCAGTTGAAGCGCGTCAAAAGCTTTTTGAAGCTTTTGGTCTGAACGCGCCTTAAGAGGTACCTTTTACACTCATGGTTGCTCGCTAGCAAAGATTTCCCAGCATTCCAAAAATACAACAAGTTTATGTTAAATTACGGTAATAATACCATAAAATCACAATGTGATTATTAATCACATGATTTTATGGTATTGTAACGCTTTTTTGTAATCACATTATAATTGTGGTAATAAAACACCACTGGATGTTTTTGAACCAATTTATACTTAAATGTGCATGTTTGAATTGTTTTTCAAAATAACATTTGTTTAATGTCAAAATTTCATTGTAATTTTACAGAAATGTGTTACAGTGCATGTTGTCCATTTAGATTTCAAACTATTATCCTGTCAAATGACTGAATTTGGTTCACAGTAGTAAGATTTAGGAATAACCTCCACGGCAGCTCCGTCGATGACCATGCCGTTCATCAGGCCCAGAGCGGTCAGGGCATCGTCACGGTTACAGTAGTGCACAAAGGCGTAGTCTGTGAGCTTTTTGACCCGTTCCACGCTGCCGGGTTTGAACCTGGAGAACTCCTGCTGCAGCGTTTCCTCAGTTGTGCTCAGCATAAGGTTACGCACCTGCAAACACAGACAAGGCCCTCAAGATAACACACTGCAGCAAGAAGAAGTGAATACTACCTTCCTGCAAAAGTTCAGTCGGGGTAACTACCTTTCAGACCACAGATAATGGAACTATTTAACAAAATCCTAACATCCAGTCCCTTGCTCTCAAAACAGTTTGGTTCTATCACTAGTTTTCACATGCATACTATTTTAGCTTTTGTCATATCTTTAAATCAGCTTTTTTAATACATAAACATGGAAAAGAGCATCACCCTTGCTCAGCCAATCAGCTCTCAGCTCAAAAAGGCCATTCACAAACAGTGACTCACAAGGCAAAGGTTTCTGACTAATCAGACAAAACAGCATGACTTAATCAGATTTTTGCACAGAGAAGACTCTTTCTGTTGGAACGAACATCTATTATTTAAGAGAAAAAAAGTTTTCAGTTTCAATTAGAACAAATAAAACACATCAGTGTCACACGCCCACATGAAGCAGCTGCTGGATGACACTTAACAACTCTGGAGTTGGCGTTTTGTTCTTTTTATTGTTTGTAATTTTGGGTTTATGATCTGGTAACTGACAATGTTACGGCTGCTGTGGGCAGGCCGGGGTGAAGCGCAGGAGCAGAAAATTGTTTGGCTTCACATTACCACTGACTGAGCTCATTTAAATCGAATAGAGCAAATATCGCAGAAAATACATTACAGATACAATTCACATCACCTTCACAACAGATGGCAAAGATCGTGGGGCTGTGGACCTTTATAGGCCGGGATGAAAGAGTGTTAGAGGCATTCGGCTCACAAGTGCCTCTAACACATTTTCTTCTATCTGATAATAAATATTATGCCTTGTATGTGTTCAGTTTTGCCCTTAAACATGATCTTGAGGGTTGGAAAGTGGAAAATATGTAAGTATGTAAGTAAAGTAAGCATGATAGAAAAAAACGGGAAAACTGGATTCAAAGATGACTAGAATGAACAACGCACATACAGTATCTAGTGAGAGAAGTGGCAAAGTCTTCTGCTACATTTAATCTAACATGACACAAACATTTTTTACTTCTTTCTTTGACCGACGCTAACCCTTCCAGTTAAAAGCTGTAACATTTGGGTTTAAAGCACGAAATGTTCAAATGCAGGCTAAAACAGTACATTTACACTTTAATGTATGTCATGATTTCTAATTCCTATCTCAATGTATGATTTTATTGTATCTTGTTTAATTTAATGTTTTAATTTTACATGAAATTGCCTAGTCTTAGATCCTATGTCAGCGGAACCCCTTTCCCCCTGGATACTCACATAGAGCACTCTGACTCGCTGCATCACCTCCTCGTCCACGTCCTTCTCTGGTTCGGCCCAATCCACCTGGATGGAGTGGCCCCACAGCTGGAACGTACCTGCCATAAAAATAAATAAGAAAACGTGTGAAATGCCTCTACAATCTCATGCTCATCAGACATTTCCATCTTCCAGACCAGTTAATAGTGAGAAGGAGTCCACCTTCAAAGATAATCTGAGACTTTAAACATGCGTATTGATCTTGAATATAATCTATATCATTAGTATCTCTTAACTCAAACATAGTAATTCAAACTCCTACTCTATGGTCTATGACTATCGGTTGGGATGAACTGTACATTGCTCTGGGGTATTGAATAATTGAATCATTTTGAACAGCTCTCTCAAAAGCAACTGGACTTATAATATAGTTTATACCAAGTAATTTCCCTGGTGGTCAAAGTTTGTTGCAGAACTTCCTGCTCTAAAGCCGCTGAACTACACTGACCTGTTAAATTTATATACGTTTCTATAGGGACCAGAGCCCGAAGCCCGCCCTCCTGCGTGCACTCTACATTTCATGAGTTTGGAGCTGGAATCAAAGCTGCGGCTGCCTCCCACTGCTCAGGGGCCCCGTGCTGCTCAGGGGCCCCTTCATCCAGAGCGGGGAAAACAACATGAGCAGATATGTCCGACGTGGCCTCGCAATTAGCTCAAACAAAACAATGGAGGGATGTCACATAACAACAAAAGATCAAGACCGCAAAGGCTGAAGCAGGATAAAAGGCTACTGCTTCTTTTCACAGCTTTACGTCCATGTAAAGTCCCATTAGACAGGAGTGGATTTCCTTTCCAAAGTTGTGATGTAGCTGGAACGAAGCTTGGGGTTTCTTTCATTTGTTTTAGATAAATATTGAAAATGCATTAAACAATATTAATGATTCACTTACAGCAGAGATGTTTTTTTTCATGTTAAACCCTTGATTCCAACAAAGAAATGGCAAAATTATAAAGCAAATAATTACAGAACTTTTTGGCACTCAACCACCATCACCGGCTTTCACACAAACACCACATAATACAGCACAAATACTGAGACTGAATTTGAAATACATTATGAACATAGGACACGACCAAGTACCAAGAGATCCAACCACCATCAAAACCACGACCACAAAAAAGACAGAACCAGTGTGAAACCAGGGATAACTCAAAACTACACCACAATAGAGTAAAGAAGAGTAAATGTACAGTATGTTAAGACGTCTCTTGAAAGAAACAGCTCCTCCTGTGCAATAGCTCCCTCTGCTGGCAATAGACTGAAGCACAGGCCAAAGGGTTCGGCCAAATGAGAGTTATTATGACTTTGCCCTATTCCCACAATAGAAAAGCTGCCTTCTCCATGCCCCTCACTCGGTACTGTTACCTGGGATGAGTTTTCTCCGGGCCATGGCAGCAGCCTTGTGTGACTCGTATTCCACAAAAGCAAAGCCTCTGTTTTTGGTTTTATCCGTAGAGCTGGGATACACAATGACATCCACGACGCCATCGGTCACCTATGGACAACACACAGGGATATATAAGGGCTTTATGGCAAATAATGTGCGACTGGTTTTATGCCTATATTATCACACTTTTTTCCAACTGAAAGTTCACACACAACTAACATAACTACGAAGCAAAAGCAAAATGATTCATGGTTTTGTTTTTGTTTTAATAATAGGGGAGTGCACAAGTATTCATACAGCCTTTCTGAGTGCATTAAATTGCCTTTGAACATTCCTAAATACTGCTGACTGTTCACGACTTCCCATAACGATGAAATAGAAGCTTACTTGACTCATGAAAGCCAAGGAGCACATCAGAGAGGTCAGAGATACAGTTATGGACATGTTTGAAGCATGGTTAGGTTATATAATAATAATATACAAAATCTCACAGGTCACTATTCAATCCGTCATCTGGTAATGTACTGTAAATCTAACAACACCTGCCCATCCACCTAAACTAACAAGCTGAACAAGGACCAAAATGTTTTAAAAAATTAGGTCAATGGTTACTCTGGAGGTGCTGTGGTCACATGAGTCCAGAATCAAACTCTTTGGCTCAAATACAAAAATACAGAGCATTATTGGAAGAAACTGCTGAAGCTGAGGATTCAACATAGTATTTCTTGCTGTATGATTTAATTTCTGTAATAAATAACATAATTTTGCTTTGACTTCACAGTTGTCTGTTACTTGTGTGTGAACTTTAAGTAAAACACGTGAACTAAAAGTAAAATTCTTCTCTCTGGCTTTAAGAAGGCTGACCTTTTTCATCTCATCTAGGATCTCGTCCTTCTTCTTGTCTTTGGGGATGGAGCCGATGAAGAGTCTGCAGTTGTCCAGACTGACACAGACACCAATGTACTTCCTTGGTCTGATCTCGTGGTTATCCAACATCTGAATGGCCCTCTGTGCCGCCTCTCTACCAGACACAACAGACACGAGGACCGTAAATAACTATTATTTTTGAGAATTGATGACTCAATTAATTGATCAATTAATCAGATTACAATTAACACAACATATTTTCATGGGATGCGTGAACACAACTATAAAGCACCTAATGAACATACTGAATGTTTTTAACCTACCTTACAGAACAACAATTGATTTCTTTATTAAACATGAGAATTCAAGAATGCAATCACAATGTAACAGTGCAAATAAATTAACAAATCTAATTATATAGACTTAAGTTTAAAAATAATACATCATGCATTACCTTTAATTCTTACACAGTCAAACTAAATGAGAGCGAGAGAAAAAAAATGGTTGCTGTGCGAAGTTCTCCAACTTCTGCTGTTACATCTTGTGCTGCAGCAATAAGGTTAGAATAAATGCACGTTTTTCTGAATGTTCCTGTGGACACACCATGCTCAGATCCAGAGCAGACACAGGGATATGAACAAGCAAAAGCAAATTCAATCTTTAGAAATAATATATTTTCTATGTGTGATGATACGCATTTGAGTGTCACTTGACCTGGTTCTGGAAGGTGTTGTTGAAGGCAACTTGCATCAGCCAACTAATCGACTATCATAAATATTTGACAACTATTTACAATATTAAATTTTAAATGATAAGATGTATTAGCTGTTACAGGCGTTCAAGAAAAGCAATGAGATACAGTGGAGATAAAAAAGAATTTAGTTAGCCCCCAATCGTGCAAGTTCTCCCACTTAAAAATATGAGAGAGTCCTGTAATTTTCATCAAAGGTATACCTCAAATTTTGGGGCTGTTGCTGGGCAACACAGACTTTCAACTCCCTCCAAAAATGTTCAATGGGGTTGAGATCTGGAGACTGGCTGGGCCAAATCTCACAAGAGATGGACCCATTCATTCTTTCCTTTACACGGATCAGTCGTTCTGGTCCCTTTGCAGAAAAACAGCCCCAATGCATGATGTTTCCATCCCCATGCTTCACAGTAGGTATGGTGATCTTTTGTATGCAATTCTCCTTCAAACATGACGAGGTGAGTTTTTACCAAAAAGTTCTATTTTGGTTTCATCTGAGCACATGACATTCTCCAAATCCTCATCTGGATGATAAATAATGCTCTCTAGCAAACTTTAGAAGGGCCTGTACATGTACTGGCTTAAGCTGGGGGACACGACTGGCACTGCAGGATTTGAGTCCCTGGCAGCGTAGTGTGTGACTGATGGAAGCCTTTGTTACTTTGGTCCCAGCTCTCTTTTTCTCACCGTTCTTGTGATCGAGAGATCTTGCGTGGTGCCCCAGATCGAGGGAGATTATCAGTAGTCTTGTATGTCTTCCATTTTCTAATAATTGCTCCCACAGTTAATTTGTTCACACCAAGCTGCTTACCTATTGCAGATTCAGTCTTCCCTGCCTGGTCCAGGTCTACAATTTTGATTCTGGTGTCCTTTGAAAGGTCTTTGGTCTTGGCCATAGTGGAGTTTGGAATGTGACTGTTTGAGGTTGTGGACAGGTGTCTTTTATACTGATAACAAGTTCAAACAGGTGCCATTGATACAGGTAACAGGTGGAGGACAGTGGACAGAGGAGGAAAGAAGGACTTACAGGTCTTGTTTGTTTGTAGGTGACCAAATACTTATATTCCAAAATACTTTTTTACCCCACTGTATATGCATTACTTTCAGGTTCTCAGGTCTAATAATGCAATGACAAATGTCTTGTTGTAACACTCACAGCTGTATAGTTATAATGTCTCTTGTTGATATCCGCAGACATGTCTCACCTGTTGGTGTACATGACGAAGGCATAGCCACGGTTCTCTCCACTGAACTCCATCATGAGTCTGAACTCGTAGATGCAACCTGCTTGTTCGAACAGTGGCACCAGCTCATCCTCGTACATGTCCCTTGGAATCTTCCCCACAAACACCTCACAGCCTCGAGGCGGCGGGGGCCCTTCCCAACCTGAAACACACAGGTTAGGTCATCTTAATCCTGAAGAGACCGTAAAGAGACAGGGGAGGAGCTTTATACTTCTCCTTGATTAAGATATGAAGTTCTTCTAATTCTGAATTTCCTATGTTGGTTCTGTGAGTGGTGATTGTGTATAGTAGTCTTGTGTAAGGGGGAGTAAACTCTAGGATTATACAATGTTCTCACAATATTACAGAGGAGACAAGAATGTTGTGAAAGGTTTTCTCTCCACTGTGCTGTGGAACTACACAGACCAAAGACCACCTCTCACTGAGGGGCAAACTCCATATCTATCTTCTTTCCGCTCATGTCTGCAGGGCGGTGGAGCCCGGAGGAGACACAATACTCATTTAAGACCAAAAACAAGCTTTACATCTAAAGCAGATAACCTTGGTCTCCGTGCAGTACATTTGGGGCGTACTTTGTTACATTATGTCCACAGATGCACCAGTCCTAATAAAGTGTATAAGTGTATCATTTTAGTCTTGTCTCACGTGTTGTTTACAAAAAGAAGTCTGTATAAAATCAACTTAAATTGAAATCTAGTAGCAATCGCAATGTTTTCTAGAAGCATTTCTAATGTCCCTTGTCTAATTTTTGTCTGTATTCTGTCTAAACTCAGCATGGACTCGATCTGAATTCAGTCTGAACACAAGCCTGACCTGGCGGAGGGCCCCCATACTTCCGCTGGCCGTTCTCTTGGACCATGTTGTAGCCAGTTTTCTCCATGAGAGCGAGCAACGCCATTTCTTTGGCACAGGATGCTCTTAACTCATCCTCCCCAAACAGAGCACTGGGTCCAGCTCCCAGCTCTTGGTCCTGGTCTGAGGACTGGTCTGAGTCTGGATCTCCGTCTGAGGACATACAAAGACATCGCAGCACTGTTTATCATCAAAATGAAAACAACTTTTGAAAACTGGCTGTTCTCTGTCTTTGTTTTGCATTTCTTTAGTTGATTATTTATTTCAAAATAATAATTGTTGTTTAAACATACGGTTGATACTTAACAAAAAAATAATATCAAGGTATCGTTTTGCACAATATTAACTACAACTAAATCTTACTCTGAAACCCCTCCTGCTTTTAGGGTTAAAACTACTTTTACATCAAAACAGTGATCTTATATCCACAAATCCCATGTATTTGTTTTATAACTATATACTTGTATTTCTTTGTTTGTTTGAATGGGAGAGTGTAAATTAAGCAACATGTGTCCATGTAAATACGCCATCTGTACCAACAACATTTTATACCAACAAACGAATTAAATGATTTAATCTCAGTAAATGAATTTGACATAAACCTAATAGAACAGTTGTTACTGATTCTAAACAAACCCCCAGTACACCAGGCAACCACTACGACTGAAATCCAGAATTTTAAACCAAAAAGAATCAATGAAACTGCGAAGTTAGGATAAGATACAAATCTTCTTAGAAAAACAGATGTGATGGGACACAAGTTGGGGGCTTTTTATATTTGATGCATGCAGAGTGTTTTATACTGTTACGGTTTTAATTGCTGCATGCTTTAGAGTGGCTTTTATTGTTTGCTGTGATTTTAACTGCATGATTTTAGACTGTTTTTAACTGGTTGCCCTCGCAACCACTCACACGTCACCCCTGATCAGCACGAACCAAGACACCTGCGGGTGCAATCAGACGGCCGGATAAAAGCACCTGGAGAGAGCAGCATGGGAGAGCCGCAGAGCGAGAGAGCTCCGTGGGCTGGCGGCCGGGCCGTGGTCAGAGGAGGTTGGGAACGCACACACGGAGGACTGCCCCGAAGCAGCCAGAGCAGAACCCGCGAGCCCGCGAGCCCCTGGGAAGAACACCACGAGGTCGACTACAGGCCGGGGCGGAGGAAACGGGCTACGCCCTGTAGTGGTGTTTCAAACAGCCTTTTGGTTTGTAGGGATCGCGGGCGTGAGAGCTGGGCACTGCTGCTGTTATGTCTCCCGTAGGCGAGGGCTACTGGGAGCGGAAGTCCAGCGGAGAGTGGGCCAGGGACACACACCCGTGAGTTGCACAATACCCTACGGGACTACAGCAAAGGCACGACCCAGGCTCTTGTTCCTGCCGGTGCATTGTGTGCAGGAGCAGCCTCACCAGAGTCTGCTCAAGACTCACCGTGCCTCGACGGGATTTTCCTTATTTTATTTATTTTACACCCCTCGGCTGCATTACATAAATATTTCGTATTAGAATGTTAATCTATTGGGTAATCCTAAATCAGCCTGGTTCATAAGCGAGAAGATTGTTGAGATGTCCAAACGAACGTTAGCTTAGCCAGCGTCACATAACTGTTAGCTAACTGTTAGCAAAGAATAGCAACTTTTTAACAAGCTAGCTAATTAATTAGACGCCTTTTTAGATTATTCATAGAAATACAACGTAACATACAATTCATACCAGATCTGTCTTTGACCATGTTGTTCCTGCGGGAGATGTTTGTTTATTTTCCCAAATCGGGGGAAAATGGCAGATAAAAGCGAACAAGTAAGCGGGCCTTTTGCAGCACTGGCAAACCAACGGCAATGAGCGCGTGATTGACGGGGGGGAGCGGACTGATCAGCCAATCACAGGTGAGGGATGGAGAAAAAGGCGGGACATAGGAAGCTGAAGCTGTCTTTTTTTAAATGTCATTTAGTCAGATTTATTGCTTTAAAGCCTGGCTTAATACTATTTCGTTGTGGTTGCAGCTTTAAACTAGGCTCTATTTTGTGCCTCGGTCAAGAACAGAAACAAGTCAAGATTCATGAACAGTTTTTGGATGATTTCTATCCACCAGGATTACCTTGCAATAGTTAATTATTTTCTGTGGTAAAAATGGCACTGTTGAGAATCACTACTCATAAACTGAGTATTGACCTTTGACCCTCCAGTATGTAAAAACATGTTTAGTCTTTTTACATTTGTAGCGTCCTGTTTAGTTTGTTGGATGGTACAAAAGCTTTTTCATATGGTGTTTGGACAAAAACATACCACCTTTTGTTATTTAATATAATATTGTTCTGAAATGCCACATGTAAAATGTTTCACTTTACAATTGCTATCAATTTTACGTGGTATAGGATGGTTTCAGAATACCTGAAACCTAGGATTAAGGCAAATCTGTTTAACACACAGAAGAGTTACCCAAATATAATCTTAATGTTAGCCCTGGTTTAACTTAAAACACACCAGATGATCATAAATATATCTTTAATTTCATCTGCAGCAGGAGAATGTCATGCTGCCATCCACACCAGGAAGGGCACCAACAGTGAGAGCAGGAGCATGCATGAGCTCAGGGCCACGTGCACGTACAGGACTAGCCCCAGCCCAAGCAGCCACATCGCCTTGGCAACGCCCCGACTCAGCACCAGCCTCCGGACCGTTTTACAGAACTGAGGATGGAGAAGGCAAAGGATTAGACCTGGTTTTGCCCATCTGCTTAAGACCTCTTTTAGTCCTGCTCCTGCTTTTGTCCTGTCTTAGTCCTACTTAACCCCTGAACAAGACCTACTTTACTCCTACTTCAGACCTTATTTATCATGACTCCTTTGCTGACCATCTTCAGACCTATTTTAGGACTTTTTTATACCCCTGTTTTAGTCCTGCATTCGAGATTCTTTACACCTGCTTCAGTACTTTCAAAAGAATACATTATTACAATTGTTAGCAAACTGTTTTCTGTTCATTGAGAAAGAGCCGCTTTTCACCACTAGAGGGCGTTCCTGCACTAGGAACATTCCAGCAGAGCAGAGGCCTGTTATTGACGCAAAGCAGGACACTAACTTCTAGTAGCTTTATAACTCTGTTGTATTGATACATAGTGGACAACAAGTAGAAACTTGTGACAAGAAAAACCGCATATAAATCCTGTCAGTACATTGTAATCACTGAACAATACACTAGTTTCTCAATCGAGACCAAAGAACGTTTAATCTGCTCCAGAGGACTGACATTTCCCCTATTTGCTTATTTTCAGTCAGCTTTTAGTTCTTCCCCAAAGTGCTCCTTCAACCATTTTATCTGTCAATGAAAAGAGCATCACCATATTCACACTACTGCATGTGTTTTGTACCTGGAAGGTCTGGAAGCTCATGCTGGTCCCGTAGCGGCAGTACATGACATAGTGTTCACAGTTGAACCACAGCAGGCTGTAGGGGACTTGTCCTCGAAGCCTTTCCGCTCTGAGGGCCACTGTCTCCTGGTCTAGAGGAGGAAGGCTGCTGCACACCTGTAACATAAGAGCCAGCAATCTGTCAGTTTAGTGGTTTTGTTCTGTTCAGTCCTGGTTACGGCCCTGTGCAGTCTTGGTTCAGCCTGGTTTGGTCCTGAGCAGTCTTGGTTAGGTCTTGGTTCAGTCCTGCTTTGATCCTAGTTCAGTTTTGGTTTGGTCTTGTCTGAGGCAATTTCACAGTCCATATTTTCCGATGCCTTGTAATGCGCTGTCTCCCATCACAAAACTCTGCACAACCTGTCCTCAGAAATCTGAGATCAATCCATCATTAACCACATGGTTTAGATTAATAAATTACACATGATCTTGAGCTTTTGAATCCATTCTTCATTCATTTATTCTTATACAGATGTAACTACCGTATTTTCCGGACCATAAGCCGCAGGCTCCAATTTTTAGAAAGAAATTAAATGTTATACTTGTACAAGCCGTGCCTGTCCCACATTGTAATATTGAAAAATTTAGCTCAAAGGTTCATGTCTTCTTTTTACTGTGAGGAACAAGAGTAAGTGAGGCACTGACTGTCCTTAATCTTGCTGTGTGAAGCAGGAAGGTCGGGCTCTTTTCCCTTTCATGTCTTTATAAACTATCTTCTATATGAGATATTTAGACAAAAAAGTCAGGACTTTTAAACTTTACTTAATCTGTCTGACATCTTACACTTCAATTGGACTTCTACTCATCAATTCTGTTGGTATACTGTTTATTGGCAAAATGTTTTTGGCCCCAAGAAAAAAGCCGCTGTTTATAATTTTGGATTTACAGTATTCATTTGTGGCTCTTTTTTTTGTCCCTGTTCAGTGGTATTTCAGTCCTGCTCTGGACCTTGTCTGTGGGGTTGACGATGATTTCAGATCCATAGGCAAAGTCCTCCACAGAGTCCACCCTGACACTGCCGCGCTGAAACACAACAGTTACAGGTCATAACTATGGGGCCGTGATTGTACTTTCTTTCTATGGTACTAACTGTAGCATTTTACGAGTGACTGGTGGTATAGATGCCAATGAAATTAGGTTTTGACTTTATAATAAGCAAACCTTGAGTATGACGCCTAACACCAGTCGAGTGTTAGTGACCATCTTCTGGATCTTCCTCTGGTCTCCACTGATCAACGGCATAATGTCCGGGATGAAGTGAGCCACTCTGAAAGGGGAATTGAATCTACTTAAGGGCCAGTTCTGCATGGATGTGTGGCTGCAAGACTAAATGTAATCAAGTGTAATTGGCTCTAATTAGCTTTTGTGAAAGTTTATGAACAGCTCAGGCAAAAACATGCTGTCTTCACCTTCTAATACAGAATAGAACGTATGGTTTAAACATCAGATTTTCCGGTTTCAGGGACAATGCAAATGGCTGCAGTAATAAACGAGTTATGACCAGCTGATCATAATCACAAATCGTCATAGACTCACCGTCCTCCTCCCAGGTAGATGCCAAAGTGAATGAAGAGAGTCCGGGGCACCTCCAGCAGATCTCCACGTCTGAACTTTAGGTCATATTTACTTTCACACACTTCCTCCTCCTGTTTGGGATTTTTCTTTTCTTGTTTTTGTGTCAAAGCGGCAAATAACATTGGCAGAAAGCAGAGGGAGAACATGGTGCAAGGTGGAACAGGCTTGGTGTGTAGGGACTCACTGAACAGCCGAAAGGTCTTTCTCCCGAGAGAGAGAAGGAGGGGGAAGTCTGGAGGCATTATAAGATTTGCAACGTGGGAATATGGCGAGTCCATTGAAACAAATGATCAGAAACAATCAAGGCTGGGTTTATTTTATAGTGGAGAAATGTTTTGCATGATTAAAAACTCAAAGAACACAAAGTTTGCCATATATGTAGAAGAATGGAATGAATTTAAATTGATCATTGAAAATTTCAGAAGAAGCCCTATTTGTGCATTTGATTTGATATGGTTCCAAAGCGTTCTGTGCACAAAATATTTTAGATTAGAAATGTGCTTTTGTTAAAGTTCCATCATATTTTAATTGGCATGGATGATTTCTATGATAAACTGATGGTACTTGTTTGTAAGATTTCTGTCTCGAGGCTCTCAGTCTGCAGGTTCTGGGTCTAAATGGTTTCTTAATCATTCTCCCTAATCCTATGCTCAGTTGTGAAATCCACAGTTTTCACAACTTTGCAGAAAACAGAAAACAGGTCAATGAACAAAATTGTTTGGGATTAACATTGTGACAAATTGGGACACTGGCTCAGAGCTGATTTATTGTAAAAGTACTTGAATACATGATACTATTGTTAATACATGTAAGTGTTTCTGTACTTTTTGAAGGTATTCGTAAATACTGCATGCATACTGCACATACCTTGGGGCACGTGCTACATACATTTTTTTCATGACACTTGGCTTTTGTACATCATTTTAGCCTGGGAATAACTATAGTAATTTTTAATTTCTCCATTGTGAGATCAAGTTCATCGGATCTTATCTTATCCATGCTGCTGTGTGCGTTATAGAATCATTTCAAACTGCACAAAACTAATGAATAATAATATTGCACTTGTGGTATTTGATCTGGTGATGGCCAGGCTAACATTATTTAACAATATATGTTTTTAAATGAAATACATTCATACTCCTCTATTCCTGCGACAGTGGTCCTCACATGCACCTGTTCATGAACCGTGTGGCTGCAGGTTTTCATTCCTTTGTCGACACGGGAATCGAACCCATGACCCTCTTTCAGTGAAGCATGAGTGCTACCCACGCGTAAGTCAGTCAGACTTTTGGGTCACACCTCAGGGACACCACCAAGACATGATGAATGCCCCAAAAATGGCTTTGCACAAATGGTGACGTGTGCAGCTCAGCACAAATGTCTGACAGCATGTTGGGGTCAGCCGGTCACTACGGGGGCAGAGGAGGTGATACATGACCTGTTCCAATCTGAACAGCTGAAAGTACTTGTGAAATATCCCTGTGCAGTGGGGAATGTAACAGTCATAATCATATCTCAAATTTGTTTACCAGTGCACAATGCACGTAAGCAATAAACTTGTCTTCATAAAAAGGTCTAAGTATTGACCCATGGAGCTGCGGGGACGACGCTGTTTCACCTGGGGATCAAAATAAATACATATTGGGTTAGGGAAACATTTACCACACTTTTGTTTTATATATATTTAGTTACTTCTTTACATCATCAGGGTGTTTTGACCAAACAATTACTATTAATTAATGTAAGCTCAATTTCCTTTTCTGATGGACTAAGTGGACCAAAGTTATGATGGATTGTTAGACTGAGAAGGATTTTGCCATGGTAGCCTCTTATCAATGTTTGCAAGTTGAGAATCAATTGGAGGGCCAAAAATGGTCTGGGGTCCCTCTTTGGGCACCACTGCCTTTTTAAAAGACCTCCAAGCTCTGAATAAATATTGCAGCAGTTTTTGGAGCATGTACCAAGAATAAGTGTTCTGAAAACTGTTTATGAGTAACCATAGACTGTATAACTTTGATTTGATTTATGTAGAGTAAGTCCCAGACTGCAAGCCACTACTTTTTTCTATCCTCCCGGCATATAAAGGAAAATGTTCGTAAAAATATTGCGTGTGGCTAAAATATAGCCACCGCTCTTCCGCCTCCGTCGAGCAAAGACGTGTCTCAGACGCTCCTGCTTCTGACTGCTTGCTATCTCCTGTTTTTGTCTTTTTCCTGGAGTTTTGCCACAGACAACTTTTAGCAAGAATGGAAATGGTAAATTGGTCCCTCAACGCAATTGATTCTATCTTTTCAACACGTAAGCGCGGGTCTGGAGAGCCCGAGTGCCCGGACGGGACTTCACCAGCGGGTTATACGCTTGACAGCTGGAACAAGTGGCAGCCCCTCTGTCTGTCGACCCTGTCCATTGAAGATTCGGAAGACGTATATATCTTTGGCTTTTTGGTGGTGGGGATCCTCCTGTTTGGGCTTGGAGCGGTTCTATTCTACCATAAATTCGGAGGCATGGCAGTTCGCAAGATTCACGACCTGCTGGCCAACAAAATTGATGGGATGTACAAGGAGCTTAACCGAGTCGTGGTTGAGAGCGCTGTGGCTGGACAAAGAAGAGTGGTGTTAGTGGAACAGTTGATCAGAGATCTCGCAGCTCGTTCACTTGATGGGCATAAAACTCTGGAATTGAGATTGAATGACATTGTTTGTCACGCTTGAACTCTCTGACCCGGCTTGGATTGGCCCCTGTGTACGGGGTCTGAGGGCGCCGCAATTCGGTTTAATTGGATTTAATAGAATATCTGCCTGTTTTTGACTGCTAAAATGCACAATATTGTCCCTCGTTACAGGAAGATGTGTTTTTCTCCTTGCTGTGTCTTCCCTCCACTCTTATCTCACATTCCTCGGGCCAAGGCCATCATAATAAATCTGGACTCTACAACAATTTCACACTCTTTCAGTCAGTTCCAGCTTGGATCCCGCTCCCCCCGCCTCCCTCTGATCTCTCCCTCCCCTCCCCTCCTCACTGTGTTTCCGACTCACCCCCTCCCTGACCCCGCCCCCCTCTGACAGCCACATTGGGCCGGCTGCTGAAGGTGCTCATCCCGAAAAAAAATCCGTGGTTTATACAAAGCACAATGTTTTCTATCCAACTGTCTGTTGTAACCTGTATGTTATTGCTCTCTGCTGTTTATTCTACTGTTTGTCGCATGGCGCCGGAAAAGATGGCGCCGTGGCAAGAGCTCTGGTGTGTGTCGTCTCTGTCTGGCGCACACCGGGGTAGTCTTGCACAGTTTTTCCAATGTGGTTTTACTGCAAATGGCAAATAAATGAATCTGAATCTGAATCTGAATACAGGTGTGTCTAATAGGGTTAGGGTTAGAAAGTACAGTATTTATAATTTTTTTCTTTTGGTGGTATTCACAATGCAGTTACCATTCAAAGATTGAAAGTGTTTTAATATTGTATCAGGCAATGTAGGTAAATATGATGAGATATTTACTAAAACAAACCTAAAGCTTACATTGAGTGATGCCTCAGATTGTGTTTTATCCTTTTCATAACAATACTTAAAAACATAATGTGTAGAAATAAACTTTTCTTATTCTGTGATTTTTGTGATATACTGAAGGCCATACAATTAATTAAGTATTTAGAATACAGTACTATGATTGGGCCTTCACAAAACGGAACACATAGATATAAACATTCTAAAGCAGGCATACTGTATACAGTGTAGTCGTCTATAACTCCTCTCAAAAGTAGTGTTACCGAGTTTGTGACGGATTTTCAAGATGTATTCCACATTTTGTTGAGCGATATTGTTGTTTGCGGGTTGTGGGATTGTGGATATTGTGAAATATGAGGGAAAAAAACAGATTATTTCCAAAACAAACTTTAATAGAATCAGAAAACCAGCTTTTTTGCTCCATTCGGCAGACACCACTCATAAAAGAAGAAGAAGAGTCTGATTTCCCGTCGGTGACATTCGGCCTCATTTGGCACATCGTTCGTATCACATTCTCAGAACCAGCTTTTTCACAAAACTGAATCCGCTCTCAGCCCAAAGAGGTGTATAGTGACTCCCCTGGCTCTCCCTGGACGACAGGACTGTTGCCATATCAGCAATTGTGAACAAAATATTGGCAAAATATTCTCAAAATGTGCACGGTAAAGACACAGTTGATATTTTGGCTTTCAAGATCTGCTGTTAAGAAGTGAACGAATAGTGAAGAGAAGGTACTGAAAATATACTGTAACTATTTTCCCCTCTAATTGTATCTAGCTTGTTAAAAAATGTGTCCAATTGTGTTTTTTAACTATCATCTAAGTAGATACACAACAGTCAGTACCAAAATAGTATGTCTTTATATATAAAAAAAACATTCCTACCACTAAATTCTAGTCATATCATTCTCCATATGTACATGTTCTGTTTGAAACTATGTTATATTCAAAAACATCAGAGGTAAAAAAGTAAATATTCTCAAAGTCATGTAAAAATGTCACAATCCGATAGTGTTTGCCCTAAAGGATGTCTATCGTGTGGCTGTTATAATAATGTCTTTAGCTGCTCATCCACAATGTGAACGGCAGCAGCAGTGCAGGGACCAGAGTGCAGAGAGAGGCCCCCCAGGAGACCGGCAGCAGGGCCCCCACCACCACCGAGGCCATCAGAGTCCTGGAGTCCCGAATCGCAGACTTCAACCAGGAGCAGAACTGCAAACACAAAGACGGGATTCAGAATATAATGAAAAGAGCCAATCACATTAGTGTCATTACGACTGGGACTTGACTTTTTCCTACTCCTTTTCACTTATTTAAAGCTGGGGTATGTAACTTTCAAACCCCCAAAAAATACGGAATTTGTAAAACCGTTTGGTTCTTTCACTAGTTTTTATGTGCATATTTTTTTGGCCTCAGCTCAATCACATCTTTCAGAAAGACAAGACCACCCTCACTCAGCCAATCAGCTTCCAGCCCCAAGTGTCAGTGACTCACAGGGCTCTCTCTTTGTACGCAAGACAGGGAAAAGACAGCACAAAAGACTCATTCTGAAAGACAATGTGTTATTTAGATACATCGCTATTCATTAGGCAAGATTTAAATTTCCAAATTCAATGCCAACAGATTTTTATTTTTTATTTTTAGAACATTATTATCAGGCAGCATAAAACTGCTCCGCTTCCTCATTTTCCCCACAAATTGTATCTTCAAACTGCAGCTTTGTCCAAGAAAACCTATTATTTGTATTTAAAGTGGGTGTCCTTCCACCAGAAAAAAACTATAAAATAATTAAAAAGTTTCAAATGTTCTTTCATCTTCTTTGTGTTATTTGTGGACTTTTACGTGCTAATATGTTTGAAATTCACTCATTTATAAAACCGACTTAAGCCTATTTATTTGAATGAAAAGCAGATATTTTTCAAAACTTCATTAAAATACAGTCTTTGTTCATTGCGGCACATGTCTATTGCAAGAAACTGATTTTTAATAGTATAGAGAGAGATGTGCACTTTCTGTATAATTCCAGTGTTTAATGTTCATTGATAATTAGGACCTTTTTGCACAATATTGTTGTATGTTGGCTCAAAATCAGTGTGTTGCTCAGAGAATCTGTAGGAAATGAAAATAGAAAACAGAAAACGTAACATTGTCTGGGTTATTAAAACGTGGTATATTTTGCCCGATGAGTCTCTATATTTGACGCTTGGGCTGATGGGGTGGTCCTCTCTTTTTCGCCTTTGTCTGAAAAAGCTGATGTAAAGATGGGACAAAGGCCAAAATAAATAATATCTGAAGAGTATTTATTCAACCAAACTATATATCTATCTATTATTTTACTACTTAATAATATTATACTTTTTTCTGATAAAAGGTTGTATTATATTTTTTTACTGACCTAAATCCTCTTTTCTTTCAGTTGTTAGTTCATCCATTATTCACAACTGCTCGGACTTACCCCAAAAGTTATCATTCTCGTGTATTTTGCGCATTAACTTTTTTCATGGCAGAAATTGTGTTTGAGTTGAACTAGCCCAGGTGTGTATTTTAAATCTTTGTTGAGTCCTGGTGTAGACCTGGTTCAGCTCTGGTTCAGTCCAACAGAGTCTTGTTGTCTGCTGGGCCCCTAATGATCCAGGTTTGCCCTGATTACAGGAAGTAACTGAAACCTGAGAGATTCTCCATCCCCCAGTTAGACCTGGTTCAAACCGGGTTCGGACTTGGTTCAGACCTGGTTCAAACCTGGTTCAGATCTTCTTCTTCGGACCATTGCTCTGATTTAGTTCTCTGCTGAGCTTATAACAGCTTCAGAAAGTTAGACTCATCAGGGCTGTGATTTGGTCCTGGTTTTGACCTGGTTTCTGGTCCAGACTCTGAGGAGGGAGTCAAAGCGTCTCTTGTTTGAGATTTTCCGAGTGACAGTTTTTTCCTTTTGGCTCAAACTGAGGCAGAGTTTGACGCCGAGGACTGAACCAACTGTGGCACTGAACCAGGACATGGACCTGAAGTCTCTGCTGCTGTGACGCACAGATAAACCAGGTATACACCAGGGGCCATAAACATCTCTGATCTGTCCTAAACTTTCCATTGAAATGGGATGCGCGTGCTCGTGCGCGCTCACCTGCTCAGTCTGTAGGCTGTCCGCATGCCCGTAGCGGCAGTGCGTGACAAAGTGCTCGCAGTTGTTCCACAGGAGGCTGTAGGACACGGGACCGATGAGCCGCTCCGCGCGCAGCCCTGACTCTTCACCGCTCAGCGCAGCTCGGTACGTGTCCGCGCGGTTCAGGAGCACGTGCGCGCCGTACGCAAAGTCCTCCACAGAGTCCACGCGCACGCTCGCGCGCTTGGACAGCACCCCGAGCAGCAGGCGCGTGTTCGTGACCATCCGCTGCAGCCTCCGCGGCTCTGACGTCACGAGCGGCAGCGCGTCAGGGATGAGGTGCGCCACGCGCCCGTCGCCCAGATATATCCCAAAGTGCGTGAAAAGCGTGCGCGGCACCTCCAACAGGTCCCCGCGTGCGAACCGGCTCCACGAGACATCGTCTCTACGCGTGCACGACACATGCTCACGCTCCACGTGCACGAGCCGCGGCAGAGAGACGTAAATGTGCGCGAGCGAGAAGAGGCGCTCCAGCAGAAAAAACAAAGTGTCCAGCATCACGCGTTTCAGAGCCGGTCTGAGCCCGGACCAGGACTAGAGCCAGGTCTGAACCAGGTCTGAACCAGGTCTGAACCAGGTCTGAACCAGGAATGATGGAAGGGCGGGATTTAAGTATCCTCCGAGGAGAGAGAGAGAAGCCACACCTCAGACCCAAAACCCAGGACCAAGACTCAACCTGATGTGACCCCGCTCCTGGTGTGTGGACCCCCGCGGCGCCAGTGTCAACTCCAGCCGCGGGGGGTTAATCTGAGCCTAATCCTGATAATCTCATAATCCCACTTCCAAAACTAAACTAGCGCTAAACTTTAAACGAGGCACAGTGACGCCAGAAATCAGGAGTCTCCATCTCAGCCGGTGGACCTGCTTCAGTCCTGCTCAGTCCCCTTTCAGTCCTGCTTCAGTCAGACTGTGCCTCCACTGGACACCTGAATGCTCATATTGTGTTTTCCTGATCAGCTGCAGGGTCTCGCCCCCCACAGAGACCCATTCTTCTGTTGTCAGAGTTTCAGCCTAAATCCATTAGAGCTGTCACTCAAAGCCTGGCAGCAGTATTCATTACTCCAGTGTGTATAGGACGAATATTCGACTAACATATGCACGTGCAGCATCCCTGCTTTCACAATGAACACTAATGCAATCAAATAGAATCAACAACTGAACAAAATATTACACATTCGAGTGGGAGTCCTCGGAATGTTGTTTATTACACGGACCCACAATTATAGGCTGCTAGTCCACATGGTTTCTCAGTGGCCAAGTTTCTCTTCTTTTTTCCCACAATGATGAGGAAGACAGGGATTTTTTGCCGAGAAAAACTACAAGGAAGTTTAAGTCCTTTTGTATAAATGATGGGAAACTCACTCAAAGTATGAGGACAATGTTTGGAGAATCTAAAATGATATGGCTCGAGTTATTTTTTAAGAACTCAGGACTGAGGTTTCTTTATTTGTCTGAAAAAGCCTCCAACTCTTGAGCCCAAAACCTCAAATATAGTGACTCCTTCTTACAAGTATATGCAAAAGAGATAAGGTTTTCTCTTAAGATGGAGACAATGTGGTCTGATTTGTTCAAAAACGTTTATGAGGATATTTTGCAAAAAGAAAATAAGACAAATCAATTAATAAAAAGTCCATTGCTAAAATTAAGGAGTATTATACAATTTGTGTATTGTGTAACAATAAAGAAATCCGTTTTTAGTTTTTGGGAAACTGCCAAAGGAAAGTGTTTTTAACTGGATCTGGCAGGAGAACATTAAAAGAATAGCAGCTTTTTGACTTTGGACAATGAAAAATGACATATAATTAATGATGTGTTCTTCTCAGACACAGACATGACAAACGACATGACAAAGCTTTCATTAAAAATAGTAAGTAAGTAAGTAGTAAGTAAGTAAGTAAGTAGTTCATTTTGAATATGACCTAGTTTTTATATTTTACCTGTGGTTTTGGATCGATGAAAGGGATGTTGTGTGGATAAAAATGTCGAGAAGCTAAACGCATCAGTCTGATGGATGACTTCAGACGTCGTGGATGGTGGGAACAAAGTGACGAATGGACTCAAACATGAATGGGGTATGCAAATGAGACGTCACCACGGAAACCAAGAATATGAACGGGTTACCAACAGTCATCTTGGTTCGGTTTAGGTTTAGACCTGGTGTAGTCTTGGTTTGGTGCTGAGGTCTTGCTTCAGTCCTCGTTTGTGCTTTATGCCCTGGTTTTTGGCTTTAAACCCAATCTTGTCCTGATTTAGACCCATTTTTGACACAGTTTTGAAGAGCTGAACGGCCTTTGGCAAAATAACAAAGTTTATATTTGTCCTATTGAGACTAATACATTCTTAAAGCTGGGGTACCTAACTTTTAACCACAACTCTAACTAGTTCCCATAGCTCTCACATGGTTCTGTTCTATCTCTCGTTTTTACATGCGTGTATTTTATTGCTATATTTTACTCTCACCATTTTTTTCTTTTGTTTACAGAAAAGTGAAGACAAAAGGACCATGCTTACACTTAAAGACACAGTACTTCATAAATTATACGGGTGCCAACTCCAGCCTTTTCAGACACAATTCAGACTCGAATCCTAAAACCTTATCCCCTGTTTAAAACAGCAAGGACTTCTTCTGGTGATATGCGATTATAAACCGCCGTGAGACCGGTTTGTTCAATTCCTCTGATGACGAGTTTTTGTGAGGAAACTTTCTCATACTTGTTTACGCATTGCTATATTTTTCTGACGACAAAACACAAGTTTGTCTTGTCCATTTTTCAGCTTTATCAAAATGGTCTTTGTAAATCTGAGATGAGCCGTGTAAGGATTGGCCAATCTTAGCAAGTATCTTATCAACATGTCTGCCACTGTTACGACGCAAAGCTCACGCCGTTGGAACATGTGGCCATATGAGGAAATTGGAGGAAATTGGTTCCAGCTAACTTATGATCAAATCAGCTTCTTCCGCATCTGACAAACAGTACGGTGACGTCAGAGCTCGGTCTGTCCACTCCCATTTATACGCTCTATATGTTCACAACATATTTGGATATGGATGCCTATTCCATAAAATGTCCTGGTGCTTAATAACAATCCATCAGCAAAGGTCCTCACCAGAGGTTTTGTTTTTTAGATTTGACTTTTTTTCCCAACCCAATGTAGACCTACAGACAATTTTCTTAAAATAATTGTTCAACATTTGTTGCATAAGAAATCAAATTCAAAGGCAGGAAACTGTATTTGCATTCATATTTGGATGCCAAATTGTAGCCATTCTATTTAAACACATAAAACCCAGTGAAAATGATCAAGAATCAGAAAATGCTAGTTCTAAAAAAGGGCAAAATATGTTTTCAGTCCCATCAAGGAACAATTTAAAAGTAGATATGTTAAATGGGGGGCCCTACGTTGAAGTTGGTAATAACAAAAAGCACTGCATTTATATACTGTTAATTAAGACAGATCTGGTTGCTTCCACACATAGCAGTGCCAATTTCAGTATAATCTATTCTACACCATTGGAGCAAGCAAGGTACAAGCAAATCATCTGGCATGAAGCCGCGGCGCTGACATTTTCTAATGACAAATGGCAGCAGTGTGGCAGATGACCTTTTGTAGTGACCATTGCTCCTGGACTCTCTCTAGTGACTCCGTTGACAGATCCCTGGCCTCTGTGACCTCTGTCCTCTGGAGATGACTGCTTTGGCGGCTCGGTGTTACAGGAAGCCCAGGCGTCGTTAGCCTCGTTAGCGTCTGGGCTAACGTTAGCGACAACGTGCTAACAGCTGTCAACGAGAGTTTCCATGTTTTGTTTTGTTTTCCTCATGAAAGGGATCCGGACAGAAGCCCTTTGTTTTGACCTCTCCACCTCGGCTATCATTGACAAGTTTATCATTGTCGGCTTCAAAATATTGTAGGAATATATAGTCTGTCTTAAGAATTAAATATGAAGGTTTTATATAATCAATTGATTTACCAAAACAGCAGTATTTACACAATGAATAAGAACACAGAGTCAAAAGATGATTAAGCTAAATGCAGGTCATTTTTCTGCAGCACGGCAGATGACAGCTCCAAAGGTCGGTTTAGCACAATATGTCTCCTTTAATGAGGTTTGTGTGCATCAATCTTCTAAACCGCAGGTGCAAAGTAAAATAGCGTGTGCAATTCTATAGGGTACGTGAATTATACATCGGATCTGTCCAATGTTAAGGAACCTGGAAAAATATGTGTGTATTTGTTAGAACTTTAAAAAGCAATCAAACAGATGTTGTTTGAAAGATTTTTGGGTTATTGGTTTTGATTGTGTATTTCCGGTACATGCAATTCAGTCCCAAACACGGAAAGTATCCCAGTAAGAAATTCACCAATTCCCAGCAGCAAGTCTTTCACCACATCAATGGTTAGATCAGGGTTTGTCCATGTACTAAATGTCTCAAAGTAATATGGAGTCCATGATAGTAAACAAACAAAAAGACCACATCAATTTCAGTGACCATTTCCAAAAACAAAAGAATGATGAAAAAAGCCAGACGTAAACAAGAGAAAATGAACGTTCATGATTTGGAACATGAGCTTTGGATTAGAATGTTGAAAGGGCCTGATTTGGCTCCAGGGCCTTAAGTCAAATAGTTGTTTTCTGAGTTGAGTAAAGTTATGACCTTTTTATCTCTTCCAAAAATATCAGAAATATAAAAGTAACACCAAACTTTTGAACAGCAGTGCGGGCCGTCATAAGACCTATATTGTGAGATGCATTGTACAAACAAAAACTAACTTTTAAAAGTGTGTTTTCCCTTCCAAAATAAATGTTTTCCTTTCATTTGCTACTTATTTTGACAACTAATATGCAGACTATAGGACTAAACTAGACCAAAGTCAAAATTAAACCTGGAATTTTCTTAAATCCTTTCTTTCGACACCTGAAACCCAAACACTTCCTGTTTCTAATGACATTTGGCCTCTGAGTCCTAATAAAGACCAGACCAGACTTTACTCAGTCTCTAGACTCAGGGTCAAGCGACAGGATCCTGCAAATACATTTAATCAAAGAGGAATTTTGCATTGTTCACTAAATTGAATACTGCATTAGCAAAAAAGATGGATTTTACTTTGCAAATATGAAAGAAATAAAAAACAGGTAATGCATCAGAAACACCTGGAGAAGTCAATGGTTTGTTTCAGAAAAGAGAATGGTGAAATGTTCAAGTTATTCATATCGCTGTACATATATCAAAACATTACACAGGATGTTGGTTTAATCTTTTTATTGTTTGAAATGATATCATAGTTGATAGATTTGATACAAAAGAATGAATATAGAAAGTACTATGATTATTAAATCTCCATATGTTAAAAATCACATGCAAAATACTAAAGTGGCTACAGTTGTAAATGTCTTTAGTCCAATATTAGACTAGATCCAGGGAGAAGTGTTCCCACCACAGACTGTATAATGACCATTTCCATGTGTGGAAGGTTTTAACCAAATTCTCTCAAAGCAATCAAAAGCCAATCAGGGCCGAGCTTGGTTTGTTCGTGCTCACGTTATTTGCAATCAAAAGCTGAATTAGGGGATTGAAGGCCTCTGATTAATGATTCATAATGAACCATATTGTTTTACAAAGGACAATTGAAATTAAAACCAGCAGAAGTACAGCCAGCGTGTCCAAACTACAGCTGCTGCCTGGTGAAGTGGCCTCAAACGCCTTGAGCAAGTTTTACCGATCTAAGTAAGTATCATATGAAGCCGTTTATGCCGTGAAAATAGTTTCTATCTGCGAGCTGTTTCCAGACTGAACGAAGCACTTTAAAAGACATTAAAACTTCATTGCTTTTAGTATGTGCTTGTTTTTTTTAAATATTATGTGAAATTGTTTTCCTATGTGTTCCTTTCTTTAGTTGTTTTTTTTCCTACTGGCCAAACTGGATCGTTGCACAAATATTCTAATGTGGTTTTTAACTACAAATGGTGATTAAACTGAATGTAACCGCTTTTGGCCTGGTTCAATTTAAGTTCAAAGCGTAGGTTGTATTCATATAACATTCCAAAAAGTCTATAATTGAAAACAGTTTTGCAAATGAGTCAAAAGTCAGACTTCTGGTCATGGTTTAAAGCTAATTTCAGTGTCTAGAAGTGCTGACATCATTTAAAAAAACAAATACTTTTCAACATAAGAACAGTATAGCAGGTTTGTGAATCTAATCACTATCCAATAATAATCTTGTGTCAATATGTCTTTCAAAAGTAGCCCATTTCCCATAGAGCTGTATTTACACCTGCACTCCAAGTCAAATAGAATTATAAAACATAAACGCAACATATTAACGAGTGTGTTATACTCGCTGCCCAAAGTTAGGACGGTGATTTTGACACAAACAGGAGAAGAGTTTATATTGTGTTGTCATTATACAATCTTTGGTTGGCACAGGGGTCATTGTGGAGTATGTACTCAAAGAATGATTGATTACAAAGTCACAACTATCTGAACATTGATTATGACATGATGATTACACAGCAGAAGATATACAGTACTTAAAATGCATTGTTATAAAAAGAAGAGCGCTTGAAGCCGCTGTAGCGTTTTGGCTTGTTCCATTTCTGACTCGTTCATGTTCGCATTGTGATTTTCTGTTGCATTTATGGACGTTTTCCACTGAAGTTCTGTACCAATCTCTTTCGTTATCAATGTGCATCATAACAAGTGGTATACGTGAGAAAGTTGGACCTTCTCAAACAGGATGAGGCACACTGGTCAATTCCTGAAGGCTGTCTATATCAAAGTAAAGTGAACCTGACAAAGTTATGTTAAGTTCACCGGATTGAGCACATGGCTGCGTGTGAAAAGCGTGGACAGGTGGTCACTCAGTCAGTACAGAATACAATATTTACGATCTACAAATAATATTTATAAAGAGATCCCAGAGCAGAACCAAGATTTCACTCCAGAGATCTCACATTCGGGAATTACCGTTATAACCAAATAAACAACACTTCCGCAGAAACGAGATTGGCGAGTCCGTTCCGCTATGACATTTCAGAACATGTTTTAGTGCAAAAAAATAAAATAAAATCTACTTGTAGGCAACATGTTACACAATAGGGCTTTAAAGCTCGGGTACCTAACTTTATACAAATATAATAGATGTATATTATATGATATATTTTGCATACTACTTGTAAGAATGATCCCTGCGAGTCACGATTTGGCGGTTTGGGCAGGACGTTGAAGATGTGAAAGAGGCTAAGAACACACGCATTTCACTATTTGACGCTGAGAGCTGATTGGCTGAGTGAAGGTGGTCCTATTTTTCACTGTGACAGAGCCCAAAAACACATGTGTAAAACAAGGAAACCCATCTATTTTCAGAGATGAGACTAGTTAGATGGATTTCCTTACATATTCATTGTTTTGTGGTATAAAAGTAAGGTACCCCAGCTTTAATAATAGAAGAAGTAACTCAAGTTCATCTTTGATCTGTGCAAAGTAGCGTCTGTGGGTTTTTTTTGGCAATGACAAAACCCAGACTTTTCCGAGAATCAGAATGCATGAAAGCGCAGCGGGATTACTCAAACACGAATGAATCACTCAAGATACAACTCTTGAGCGATTCTGCGACGGAGGATAACCACTACAACATGGTTAAAAGTTGGAGATTTTTCCCACAATGCCTCTCTCTCCTTCAGCCGATCCTTTAGTCGTCGTCCACCAAAGACTTGAGGTCGGGTAAGCCACGGAGTTTCAAGTCCAGAAGCATTTGACCAAACGCCTTCCCCTGTAAACAAGAGCAAACAGACTGAGAAACTGAAGAGACACACATTCAACTGTAAAAGAACAACTACGATGATTGTGTGTGTTCACTCTGGGCCCGAAAGCTGTTGTTTGTTCCAAGTATCGTAAAAAGAGTAAAATGGTGTGAACAAATCAGAGTACAACATGCGCTCTTCATCTTTAATACAAACTTTATCTTTTGTATACTTTTGAAATAAACACCTTTGGGCTGCGAGCGGAGAGTGTGGTCCTCTTTTTAGTAACTTTATCTTTGAAAAAGCCGAGCTAAAGATGTGACAGAGGCTAAAACTACAGTCTTGTGAAAACTAGTGAAGGAACTGAACTGTTTTGAGAGAAATTAACTAGTTACATGGTAGATAAATAAATAAACATGGATTGTATTGTATAGTTCAAGGTTTTGTTATTTGAAGTAAGTAATGTTTATTTATATAGTGCATTTCACAGACCAAGAGTTCAGATATTGTTCCAATCATTCCTCACACGGTGATGACCAGAACACACTGGACCATCAGCTCCAATCAACACCATCCATTCACTCTCTCATTTACATTCATACCGATTGTGCATGTTTTTAGTGGTAGGGGAAACCGGAGCGCCCGGAGGAAACCTACGCAGACATGGGGACAACATGCAAACTCAGAAAGGCCCTGTTCCGACCGGGATTCAAACCCAAGACCTACTTGCTGAGAGGCGAGAGTGCTATCCACTCAGCCACCGTGCCGCCCGGTGAATGTTCGGTAACCAAGCTTTAAATACAATTTAAATGTGTTCAAAAGAGATATATTTATTAGAATTACAGTCATTTGTTATATGATATATATGCAGAGTTACTATATGTTAGTACTGTACAAAAACTGGTCTGATTAGTAACACCTATATTGAAAAAGCTAATTTATGAAAAAGCTCGAATTACTCAAAAAGAGCATCTAGTAAAATTTGGATTTGAAATGACATGTACAGGTTTTATGTCCATCCAGATTTTAGGTCAACGTGTACAACGTGTCATGTTTTAACTTTTGTGGAGTTATTCTTACTTAAAAATACATGAGATATGATCATCCAATAATAGCTATGTTTATGGCTTTTGTTTTTTTTCATCTTCATTTACAAATTCCTCAAAAACGCATCACATATATTTAAATGAAAGAAGGTACAACAGAAATATATGTAAAGTTTCTAGCTAAACCCCAGCAGGTGGATTTCATCAGTATTCACTGCTTGGAAGCTAAATGCGTCACAGGCAGGTAAATTAGATTCTTATTGTAATTACTTTATTAGACCACTACTTGTGCATATTATATACAGCCCCTTTAATGTCCAGAAATACATACATTAGGTCATTGAATTACCTTGTTCGTTTATGAAATTTACTAAAGAGAAAACCTTCATACGCATAACATGAAAATGAAGCCACAATGCAACAAAGCGCAGTCCACACTGAACAATACAAAGTTTTGTGAATTTGAAACATAAACATGTCCACTTCATGAGAAAAGGAAACGCATGCTCTCCTTCATAGATTCGGTTTAATTTTGAGGTAAAAACGTTTACATGTTTGAGCCTAAATCCTCTTTCCTTTGCACCAAGATGAAGCCTGGATCACCACGACTCTTTCCATACATTGGGCAACATTTTATGCCAAGAAACGTGACACAAAACCACAAGTGTCTAAACTGCCGAGTAATTAGGGACTTTTTGCACAGTAATACACATCATGAGGCCGACGCATTTAGAGGAGTCTGAAGAGCCGTAGAAAATGGAAATGTTCCGAGCTCGAGGCCAAGTTCACCAAGACAGACTCTGTGGTTGAAGTTATGCAAGAGTTTTACCGGTGGTCTCAGTCCTACCATAGAGAAAGAAAGACACCATAGAGATCGCAGATAAAGCGGATTTTATTATTGTTAAGTAATGTCACAGTTCAAGCTGGGGTCGGATTATGCGCTCAACTTCAGCCCCAGCCACAGGCAATTGTGATCTAAATTATTACTATTATTATAATTCTAGCCTTGAGTAGTCACATGGTTCTCATATGCTGTCGTTTTCCCATATGTTTTGATGCTACATTTTGTATTGGTTTATGTGGTAGAAGAGTAAAAGAAGTAATTTAGCTCACTACTGTTCCAATCCGTAGAGACAGGTTGGAATCCAAACGCTTTTCTGTGGTTTTGCAATAATTGTGCAGTGTGCGTCAGACTGACACAGCAATTGTGGGATAAGGATATTGAAGAAAAGAGTTTACTTCATCGTCATTTGGAAGAGCTAGACTCCTCATGCCGTGTGTTGACATGGTCCTGCAGTGGGGGAGTTCAAGTATCGCAGGTCACAGTCAAGAAAGAGATTTTTGGATGTTTTGTGCGTGTGATAGTTTTACCTGTGGGTCACTGCGTAGAGAGGCCACGCCCCCTCCACCCAAACTCTTGTTTAGCACAAAATTCAGACCGAAGACACCAGGAAGAGTGTATCTGCAAGAAAAACAAACAAATACAAGAGATTAAAGCATAACGGGACCAGGACAGGACCAGGACTAGACCAGGATTGGACCAGGGCGAGACCAAGACGAGACCAGAACTGGAGCAGGACTGGACCAGCAAGAGGCCAGGACTTGACCAGGCAGGACCAGAACAGGACAGGACTAGAACAGGACTAGGACTAGACCAGGGCTGGACCAGAACAGGACTAGGACTAGACCAGGGCTGGACCAGGATGAGACCAGGACGAGACCAGGACGAGACAAGTACAGGACCAGAACAGGACCAAGACAAGACCAGGACAGGATCAGGACAAGACCAAGACAAGACCAGGACGAGATCAGTACAGGACCAGAACAGGACCAGGACCGGATCAGGACAAGACCAGAACGAGACCAAGACTGGACCAGGAGCTTGCTTGAGCTTCAGTCAAAGTCGGCGACTACTGGTAATGTCAGTCAGTCCATTATAAAGTCTATGGGAGGAGGCTGTAAGAGGCACTGTTGTTCAAAATCCAAAGAGTTCCAAACAGACGTCCAAAATTGGTTGTAAAATGTTTAAGAGGTCTACGTGCTTTTCTCATGTACCCACTTTGTGATTAGAACTTTTGTGTTCAGTTGTGTCTGATCTACACTACGAGATTGAGTAATGCATCCGCCTTCAACGACAGGCGACTGAACGTCCCAGGGCGCACCATGTCCCCAATACATTTATCTGTGAGTATAGACAACGTGCTGAGCTCCATGTATCAGTCTTGGTCAGCCTTGTTTCAGTCCTGGTTCAGTCCTGTTTCAGTCCTGGTTCAGTCCTGTTTCAGTCCTGGTTCAGTCCTGGTTCAGTCCTGGTTCAGTCCTGGTTCAGTCCATGTGATGTCCAGTCGAGTCCAGCGTTTGTCTGGACTCTCATCTTGAAGGGTGGCACATTCCTGGGGTCTTGCGTGAACACGTTGCTGCTTCACCTACAAACATGTGGCGCCGTAAAGTCCTCCATTAAGACGTGTCTAAGCCCCGCCCCCTCGTTAAACTCACCTCGTTAACTTCCTGCTCGTTAGGCCACCCCCACCGGCCTCGTTAAACCACGGGACTCACCACAGATGCATAAAGAGACCAAATACTTTACCACAAAAACTCTGGCTGGATTTTGATTGTTCTTTGTAGAAACTTTTCTGTCTAGAAGTTACAACTTTAGAAAAAAGAACAGGGACAGTGGAATTTTTCTAATATCAATTAGAGAAATGGTGTACTCGAATTTAATGAATATAACTAGCTTCTGCTCTGTCCAGCTACCTAAATACAGCCAGTTTAAGAAGATAATATCCATTGTTTTGATATATCTGTTCTATGCCATAATGCAGAGCTTCCTAAAGTGGAGTCGGTACCCCCTAAGTCAGGGGTGTAAAAGCGGTCCTCAAAGGGCCGGGTGTGGCTGCAGGTTTAAGTTTCACCCGAAGCAGGAGCACACCAGACTCCACCCATTTCCTCAGGTGAGTCAGCTGAAGAGGTTTTGTTAACATTGCCAATTTCTTTTTTAACAATTTCTTTTGCCTGTTCACTTGTGTACCATTGACACACTAATACGTCAAAGCAAATAGTAACGTTTTCATGTTCCCACATGTCTATTATACAGTATCTAATATGTATGGGGATTAGCTTGAGAGCATATTTTATCAAGCCAGCAGGTGGCACCAGTGCTCTCTGGATGGTTTGAAAACAGCTAGATGCACTTGTTGTGCCTATTTTTTCTCAGCTTTTGGGCAATTTCAGGAAAACCTGCCTCTACTCGACTTGGGATTACAGGGGAAAGAAACGAGCTAGAAACAAAATTATTTTTGCTGATGAAAGTAGACAGTCCATTCTTTCAGATAGTCATAGTACACAAGGCTATTAAACAAAAACATGAACTCAGAACTACACGTTCATCAATAGTAAGGGAAGCAGAAGAACATGCGGATTACCGTGTGACGGGCTGAGTTTGTCCTGGTTCTAGGACGTGATTAAAGTACTCCGCCACAACAGCAGAGGTCAGGTGTTTCTTCAAGTATGGGTAGAACAGAGGATGACGAGCAATCACGCCTAAAACACAACACATCTGAGACTGGGGAGGACAGAGCTGTGGTCACCGCATCTACTGCAGAGGCCTCTGTCTCACCGATGTTCGCAGAATCTCCTTTGTCTCCGCTGCGAGTGTAGGCCAGCTCCTGCACACGGTAACTGTGGGGTCCACTCGGCAAGTCTGAGGAAAACAACATGACAACAACTTTTATATATCTGCTCATTCAAGCATTCATTCAATTTTTCATTGCCAATTCTTTTAATCTATTAATCCATTTAGCACAGTCTTAAGATCTGCAAATCCAAATTTGAGGCCATGATTCTGGACTAGATAAAGTGGAGAAGGTTAAGCTATTATTCTGTCCATATGCCGCACATTTTACGTTTATACTTTGGATACTGTCCCCCCCATGACCCAGTAATGGACAAAGGACTGGAATGGAAAAGGCTAATTTCTTGTTCTGTGCAGCTTCAGTCCCTGGTCCCGAGTCACAGCAGATTTCACAGTGTCACTTGCCCTACATTCAGTCTTTGCCTGGACTTTCTCAGGACCCGCTCAGGTCCTGGACTCTGGTGGCCTTTTATTTTGGGCCATTACTAAGTCCTGGTTCAGTCCAAACTTAAGCAGGTCTGTGCAGCCCTCACAAAGACCGGCTAATCCTCCCCATTCATTCAGAAAATTGGCTGTTACTTATTACTTGTTACTTATTTAGACAAGTAACAATGTGTTTTTCAAGCACAAAACAAAACTGTTTGTGTATATCCCTAAATCACAACAGTAGTAATATCGGAGGACTTTACAAAGAATCAAGAATCAAACACAAAAAATGCAATGATAAAAAACACGTAGAGCCATTGGTCCATAAGGGGCAGACGACCAATGTCCAAAAAATGTCCATAAATGTCCTGTATCACCACCGTCCTTAGACCCTCCTGCCTCGGCACGGAACAACAACAACAAAAAACAGTGGGAAAAATGTCTTAATATGGAAATGAGAAAATGTGAAATGGGGAATCTAAATGAATTTACTCAGCAGTTCATGGAATACAGAATGTTGGGAAATATGGGATGATTCCTTTCCTTTATGCAAATTAGCCAATTAGCCGTGTACTCCTCAGGTCTCTGTGTATAAACAAACGGGAGCAGTTTAGACTATTGTGGACAACATTACATTGTTATGGACCTGTATTCAGACTGTATTCAGCCTCTGCTCGTCACGGCTGACTGTGACGCACGTCCACCTGGGCTCAAGGAGCAGGGACCTCCAGCGACAAAAGAGCACTTCACCGTTGACGTCGAACAACTGTAATGCCGACTTCTCTCATAGTTAAGAGGAGAGGTACTTTGTGTTTTAGTTGAATACATAAATCATTTTATTCATCGCCACAGAAAGAGTTGGGGATAAACAAAGCGCCCTCTGACACTTCCCGTTCCCGTTTGAACAAGTTAATTTGAAGCTGGGCTAAAATGCTCTTGATTTTTTCACCGTTTTTACCGGCCTTTTTACCGGCTGATGGCAGATAAAAAGGCAGATGTTTTAAAGACAATTTTTTTTTTGAAGAAATGCCAGATGAATTTGATTCAGCAGTTACAGTGCCTTGCGAAAGTATTCGGCCCCCTTGAACCTTTCAACATTTCGCCACATTTCAGGCTTCAAACATAAAGATATACAAATTAACTTTTTTGTCAAGAATCAACAACAAGTGGGACACAATCGTGAAGTGGAACGAAATCTATTGGATAATTTAAACTTTTTTAACAAATAAAAAACTGAAAAGTGGGGCGTGCAATATTATTCGGCCCCCTTGCGCTTATACTTTGTAGCGCCACCTTTTTCTGCAATTACAGCTGCAAGTCGCTTGGGGTATGTCTCTATCAGTTTTGCACATCGAGAGACTGGAATTCTTGCCCATTCTTCCTTGCAAAACAGCTCGAGCTCAGTGAGGTTGGATGGAGAGCGTTTGTGAACAGCAGTCTTGAGCTCTTTCCACAGATTCTCGATTGGATTCAGGTCTGGACTTTGACTTGGCCATTCTAACACCTGGATACGTCTATTTGTGAACCATTTCATTGTAGATTTGGCTTTATGTTTTGGATCATTGTCCTGTTGGAAGATAAATCTCCGTCCCAGTCTCAGGTCTTTTGCAGACTCCAACAGGTTTTCTTCCAGAATGGTCCTGTATTTGGCTCCATCCATCTTCCCATCAATTTTAGCCATCTTCCCTGTCCCTGCTGACGAAAAGCAGGCCCAAACCATGATGTTGCCACCACCATGTTTGACAGTGGGGATGGTGTGTTCAGGGTGATGAGCTGTGTTGCTTTTACGCCAAACATATCGTTTTGCATTGTGGCCAAAATGTTCGATTTTGGTTTCATCTGACCAGAGCACCTTCTTCCACATGTTGGGTGTGTCTCCCAGGTGGCTTGTGGCAAACTTTAGACAAGACTTTTTATGGATATCTTTGAGAAATGGCTTTCTTCTTGCCACTCTTCCATAAAGGCCAGATTTGTGCAGTGCACGACTGATTGTTCTCCTATGGACAGACTCTCCGGCTCTAAACTTCTCCACAACAGTATCTCGGACCTGCCTGGTGTGTTCCTTTGTCTTCATGGTTCTCTCTGCGCTTTAAACAGAACCTTGAGACTATCAAAGAGCAGGTGCATTTATACGGAGACTTGATTACACACAGGTGCATTCTATTTATCATCATCAGTCATTTAGGACAACATTGGATCATTCAAAGATCCTCACTGAACTTCTGGAGTGAGTTTGTTGCACTGAAAGTAAAGGGGCCGAATAATATTGCACGCCCCACTTTTCAGTTTTTTATTTGTTAAAAAAGTTTAAATTATCCAATAAATTTTGTTGCACTTCACGATTGTGTCCCACTTGTTGTTGATTGATGACAAAAATTTAAAATTTTATATCTTTATGTTTGAAGCCTGAAATGTGGCGAAATGTTGAAAGGTTCAAGGGGGCCAAATACTTTCGCAAGGCACTGTAAACAGGTATTTGTCTGAATGCAAATGTAGTCAGTTAGAAATGAGGGCATTTTTGAGGTTGGTATATTATGGATGTGGATGGAAATAAGGTTATTTCAAAGAGAAGGAGATACCCAGTGTTTGTTTATAGCACCTACAGTATGTTGCATCTGTGTAGTGATCTAACCAATGTTACTTCTAACTTAACTGCTTCTTTCTGGTAATGTCCAGTCTCTCAGATTCTATATAGCTTACCTCTGAAAATCTCTGTACATTTTGAATCTAAATCACACTTACATAATAGTAGCTCTCATTTCCTCGATTGGAACAAGATACTCGTGAAAGTGAAGGCTAACACGGCAAGTTCTCATTCACTTAAATTATCCAAATTGTGGCACATCTTTATTTTTGTAAGTCTAGTTAAACTAATTGAAATAGTTGAGCCCAAACCTGCGTCCTGTTTTTCTTCTGTGGGTGTGGACTGCACTTCCTGGTCATTTGACTCTGGTCCCGCCTCCGACAGAGACTCCACCAAATCAGAGTCCACGTGAATGTCCACCTGAACAGCAGCAAGGTCGAAATGTTTACGTGTGCATGTGACAAGTTATTCTGTGAATTGCTGCGAGGATCAATACCTTCAGCTCAGATTTGGGATGTAAAAAGAAAAACGGCTTCAGCACCGGAGATCTGAACAGAAGAGTCGAGAAATAATGTACCACAAAACATACAATACAAAAATTTAGACAACTGTGCAATACTCACACTCGAGGACGACCACCGACAATTCCAGTCAGACCAGGAGCTGAAACATTAAAAACATTATTAAAAGTGACAAAAAGCATTTGGTTTATATTTTACATCGGTACAATACTTTTATGACCAAAAGGGAGCGATTCTAACATTAGAAGAGAGTATTTACTACTGAGGGTCATTCTTTTCCATGTTTACTGCACTTTTATCCATATATTTCCAGATTAAGAAATACTTATATGTTCTGAAACCTGAGACGTCAAAGTAAAAGTTCTCAGGTTTAAGAACATTTTATCTTGACAGGGTTTGGTCCGATTCGAGATCAGATTTAGTTCCATGTCTTGGCTGCACTGACTTGATGATTTCACAGTCTGGGTCTCGTCCATGGTCTCGTCCACAGCCTCGTCCCTGTCCAGTCCCAGTGCTGTCCCGGTCCAATCCCGGTCCAATCGTGGTCCAGTCCCGGTCCATTCTGATTCCAGTCCAGGTCTCGTCCCGGTCCAGCCCCGTTCCGGTTCCAGTCCAGGTCTCGTCCTGGTCCATCCCAGTTCTGGTTCCAGTCCAGGTCTCGTCCCGGTTCAGCCCCGTTCCAGTTCCAGTCTAGGTCTTGTCCCGGTCCAGCCCCGTTCCGGTTCCAGTCCCGGTCTCATGCCGGTCCAGTCCTGGTGGTCCAGTCCTGGTGGTCCAGTCCTGGTGGTCCAGTCCTGGTGATCCAGTCCCGGTCCAGTCCCTACTTTTTACCCATGCCAGTTCCTGCTGGAGCCACTTCTCTGGCGAAGAACTCCAGAGCTTTCTTCTGCTTGTGCTGAACAGCCATCCACAGAACCACCTCTCTGGACTCCTGAAAGGGTCACAGCTCTTACATAATAAAAACAACAATAATGACATTTACAATAATAGTAACACAATCATCACAATTATTCTTCCATGGAATAAAATACCTTCCCTTTAGTTTGTGGATAGTTAACTAATCTTACTTTTACAAGATTCTTTGTGTTGAGACAAACACATTTTTTATAAGAGGAAGAAAGTTAGGCACCGCAGCTTTAAGGGACAAAATAAACACACATCATTCTTACATTAGTTGTTTGAAGAAGTCATTGAAGTAGGACATTAGCCGCCTCAGTATTATTTTCTATAACGTTACCTTATATTTGGCGTTGAGGCCGTAGGTGTCCTCTGCTCCCAGCACCTGGATGTTCACAGCGCTGAAGTCCTCCAAACCCAGCTGTTTGAAAATACGCTTTGTTCTGTCACAAAAATGGATTAAACAGTGATAATATATGTAAAACCCACAAGGGAAAAAAATAAAATTGAATACGGAGACTTTATTTTCAGTTAAATTAATATTACTCAAAGAAACAACACATTTCTTGGCTGATGTTGCAGATAAAAGTTGTAAATCTGTTGTGTGGTACCGTTTGATGATGCTCTGTGCGGTTCTCCGGGCCTTCTCGGGCGCTCTGGGGCCCCCTACAGGACAGACGGCTGTGGCTCTGAACCCGTCCATGTACGTCGCACACACCTGAGGACATGAGGAGGCCAGCAAGTTTTACAAGGATGCTTTTCAGAACTATTATCTAGGAATCAAGACATCACCATACAACTGTTTTTAACCTGGATTTTTGTCAAAGCATGTCTCACAGTTTTGAGAAGACTGTTATTATTTTAGCTGCATGACCGTTGACTCCAAGCTTCATCCTGACTTTGGGCACCAGCAGGAGGCCAGTTTCATCCTGCTCCTCAGAGTCCCAGTAGGAGGCCAGTCCCTGTGCTCCTCAGAGTCCCAGTAGGAGGCCGGTCCCTGTGCTCCTCAGAGTCCCAGTAGGAGGCCAGTCCCTGTGCTCCTCAGAGTCCCAGTTGAAGGCCAGTCCCTGTGCTCCTCAGAGTCCCAGTAGGAGGCCAGTCCCTGTGCTCCTCAGAGTCCCAGTTGAAGGCCAATCCCTGTGCTCCTTATCGCTAACATAGTCCTGCTTGTCTAGTTGCTGCTGAACGGTGAGCTGCCTGTTCTGGAGGTTCTTTCTGAATTCTTCTTAAATTAAGCTCTTTGAATTCTCACACTGGCCCAACTGTAACATCCAAGTTCCAGCTTCTTCTCTTTTAATCAACAACATACATAATATCTAAGCCCCCATCAGGAAAGTCAAAAGAAAATGTGCATTATGATGTTTTTCATACCTTGTAATATGCAGACGGAGCTTGTCCTTTGGCTCCTGTGACTCTGACCGCTCCTCCCTCGATGCCTGAAAAGCAAAAAAACAAAAAACATACAAACTTTAAAAAAAATTTTTGTTCACATATTTTGCAAAACCAACTCAGTCCGAAGCTATTTACTCATACATAAAACTCGATTGGGTGTACTTTTGTTGAACTCTGCAGTGAACTAGGGCAGGATATCGCTTTTGTTGATAGGGTGAGGAAGGATTTTAAAAACATTGGCCAAAAAAAAAAAAATCAGGGTGAAAATCAGAGTAAAAGTTCAGCTGTGTCTAAAGAATTTACAAATATTATGAAAACCACAGCAGCCATAAGGGGCTAACAAGAGTTCAATTAAAAAGATAACAAAATTTCTCAAGACAGTGTCAAATATTGCCCAGGGCATTTTAAGGACACACATTTTGCACTGCTATTACTACGTATAGATATGAACGTAAAAATCAAAGCGTTTCAGTGTGTACAGGTATATTTCTATTCACTGAAATTAAAGCTGGAGTAACTCATTTTTAAACCACAGATATCTACTTTAGGAAATAGAAAATCCATCTATGTAGCTCTCATAACAGTTTGCTAGTTTCCACATGCTTTGTCACATTTTTAGATCAACATTTTATTTTTTACAAGACTTTCTGTGGGGACAAACTAAAATGTGTTATGTGTGAAACCCCAGCTTTAAAAATATAAATATTCTGATAACGTTTAAGCCGCAGCCTGTAAGTTTCTGTCAGTGGCACGTCGCCTGAAACCTGTGCAACACGATACTACTACACTACTGCTTTGTACTAGACATACAAAGTTAAACACACACAGAACAACCTACAGTAAAAAGTGACAGTGACTCTTAACATCATTTCACGGCCTGTAAGTGCACCTATCCCCGACACCGCGGCCTTCAGGCAGATCTCGCCCTGGGGAGAACTTAGTTGCCGTGGTTTAGGGTCTGCACAAGGTCTGAACTTTCCCTCACCCGCGCTCAAACCATAAACAACATAAAACATGTCCTTTCGCTGCTGCCCCGATCGTGAACCCCGCTGCTCCAGTCTCATGTCCTCCTCTGAGCTGATAAAACGCACATTTGTCTCCAAACTCAAAAGTTCACGCCGCTTTGGGAGACATCAAAATGATTACAAATTTTTAAACACTGGATCGCGGCCCACTGACTCAGTTTGAGAGGGGAGCGGTGTGTGGAGCAGGTCAACCCAAGGGAAGACACGTGTGTTAAAGAGACAGGCCATAGAATTGGTATAAAATGAAACGTTATTATTGTTTGACCTTTTTCTTGTATTTATGCATGTTTGAGTGTTGAGGACATCATTGCTCACTGATTTTGTCAATTTGGATTAAACAGTCTTTGATTCAACAGTGTTGATTTTATTCTTAAGCTGCGATACGCCTGCATAGAATTAGCCAGGGTGGGGTAGGAATATTGGTCTTAAATGTTGTGACTTTTTTGTGCAGTTTACAGTGGGCATTTTAGACTGTATATGTGCTTATTGTTGAAAGTCTTTTTACACATGTGCAAACCAACAAACACCATTATTTCTGCTTATGTTGTATCTTGTTTATTGTTTAAGTTTGAATATGTTTGAATTAAAAATGATCACTACTAAATTATAACTACATCGTTCAGCGGTATGACCAACTGGCAGGTGTGAAACCAGCTCTCTTTGTCCTTGGGCAAGACACTTAACTCGCACTTCTCCCCCTAGTGTTGCATGTCTGCGTGAATAACAGGAAAGCACTTTGAGCCTTGAAATTTGGTAAAGTGCTATAAAAATGTGACGACCACTACTTTTTCCGTATATCATATATGTAGAATGTTTGAAATCTCTATCATTTCTTAAAGTTTACGAGAAAGCAGAGATGTATCCTGCCAGATGGCTCTGTGCTCCGCCCCTTTACGAGATATCAGCAAAAAAAAATTTTTGTCTTTCAGCTTTCAGAGATTAAGATAAGAAAATTGGAGAACAAGGTAAGTGTGGTGGTAGTCAGATAAGCCAGGAAGGTGACTTTTTAAACTTATTTTTTCTACACAAAGACATTAGTTCAAATTGTAAAAAAAGAGCATGTTTAAATGAATGTAGTAACCCATGGTATTAGTTTGTTTAATCCTGCTTTACTCCTGGTTGAGTCCAGCCTTTACCTGGCACCTCCTTTATTCTGACTCCACTGAAGTCACAGATTACGTCCGGGAGCAGGTATCGCCTCGGGTCCTGGATTTCATAGACCAGTTGTTCGGCCACGGTCCCGAAGGAAACCAGGCCTCCGGTGTCTTTGGGTTTGGACAGAACCACGGAACCGTCTGCAGAACACTCCACCACCGGGAAGCCCATGTTGTCCCTGCACAGTCCAGCACAAACAAGGGTAAGATGTTAAACCAACTATTGGATACTTGTAAGGTTGTGTTGAAGAGGAAAGTGTTGTCCTTCTTTTGAGTTACTCTGTATTCTTTGTTTAGTTTCTGGATCAGTCTCTTGTTCAGTCCCTGGTTAAGACTCGGTTCAGTCCTGGTTAAGACTTGGTTTAGTCCCTGGTTTTGTCCCTGGTTAGGACATAGTACACATTTGGTTTATTCCGGTGTTAGTTCTCACCAGTCCTGGACTTTGTGCCAGTCGGTGAAGATTCCTCCGGTGCTCTGAGCTCCACACTCAATCAGATGACCCGCCAAACTAACACAGACCAAACAGAAGAAACCACATTAATGGAACGGAAACAATTGATGGGTCAATAATGTTTATATTGTTTCAGTCAACACAATATACAAATCTCACTGCTGCAACAATAAACTTGCTTTGCTTTACCTTGAAAATGTAAGAAGACGCTGCTAAACCAACTGAGTACCTGGTTTCAAAGATTTTCTAAATGTTAACAACTGGCCTTCTGGCTGTTTATCTGTATAATCACAATAACAGTGTCACATTGAAAGAGTCACTTTTTGGCCGCTATGGCGTACCTAACATTTTGTATCATAAATTATAGCTTGTCCCAACAGAAAGAAATGTGTACTATTTTTTGTGAACAAATCGAACCACAGCAAGCTGTCTTCATCTAATTAGACGAAGAGGTCATCTTTTCCGTACTTGAGGCTTTGGGGTGAGAACTGATAGAAAAAAAGGGGAATCAACCACTTTCTGTCTGAATCAATAAATCCTATAAAGATGTGACAGGTCGAGGCCATGCATCTGTATTTGAGCTTGACACTTAGATTTGATTACATTGTTATTTATGTTTATTTGGAGGGATTTAGTTTCTGAATAGTGAACTATTTTTCAAATATTGGAATAGTGCAAAGTACCTTCCAGCTGCGAGGAGGTCATACTCCTCTGTGTTCCATCCAAACTGAAAGACAAGTATTCACACTCAGCATGATATAATGGTGAGTTAGTCACAGTAAAATCATTTATCTTGACCTCTTAATGAGGCTTTTTGTCATTACTGTTTTGGGAAAAGTAGCTCTTTCAAGGAACAACTACTATCGCCCTCTGCTGGTGGTTGTGTTTTTTTCTGAAGGCTTAATTTTCAAACAGATCTGTGCTTTCATCATGTATTCATACAATACTGCGTTGGATCCAGTCGGAGACAAATCAAAATGAAATTAAGAACAGACATTCACTACATTTTAAAACACTTCTGATGATTAAGATTGTAACTAATGTGTATTTTTGTATTTGGAAAGTCATAGTCAAACGAGATAAATGTTTATTTTAGTTAAGGAGCTTGAAATAGTGATTTTCACATGTGCAATTACTACAAATATAAAAAACAATCATTGAACGTTTGTATAATGTTCCCTTTGTACTGATGCGTTACATACTGAGTGCATGAGGGGCCCCAGAGCCACTGCACTGTCCACACAGCGGCCGGTCACCACTATGTCTGCGCCCAGGTCCAGACAGCGGCGGATCGGGCCAGCGCTGAAACACATTACAGCAGACGCATTATCTAAAACCGGACAATATGATGAACCCCTTCACTATTATTCAGAACATGTTTTCCAGTGTCTGCCTTGAAATTAATTTTGTCACTGCTGAAATGACATTCTTTAGAACGTTCCTTGTCGATGCAGAAGGGTCAAGGACAGTGATGATCCGGAACATTTATAATCATTTATGGACATAGGTCATCTTGCTCCCTATGGACTAATGGCTTCTACATGTTTGTTATCATTGAATCAAATTGAAAACTGCATGGCTATATTTGCAGCTTGTAATGTTTGATTTCAAAAATACATTCAAGTAGTTTAAAACTCTTCTCTGGGCGTAGAAGTGAGGAATTACATGCAGAGATATTTTCTTTTATCCTTTATAGCCATATATTTTGTACCCGTTTCACATTCTAAAGTAAATAGTGTCATTATTGTATTTTAGGGCCAAAACAGATGCAGCAACAAAAATATAGAAGAAATGTCTCGGCAGGTCTGTCTTTGATGTCACAGAGAAACCAGTGTCATTGTTGAGTGTTCTGTGAATAGAAGAAAGATTGCATAAAATACCCAAAATATCCATATTAAATTAATAATAATAATAATAATAAATTGGTTTTCTATAGCACTTTTTAGGACACTCAAAGACGCTTCACATGTCATCCTTCTTTCACTCCATACACGGTGGTGATACAGACAGAAGCGAGGCAACCAGTCTGTGCCATCGGCCCCTCCGACCACCGCCAACCATTCACACACACACCAGACTCATTCTAGACAATGGGGGTGAAGTGTCTTGCCTAAGGACACAACGGCAGCTAAAAATAAAAAGATTTGTTGTGTTAATCGCTTATATTTTTGCAGCGTATATGTCATTACAAGATGGCAGAATGAAAGAAAATGCAGTGTCTTTTGTGGTATTTACGATCACACCATGGCATAGGCAAGGAGTATAATGGTATCTTTTGGCATATCACAGAGCAGATTTGAATGTACATATTTTTCCCTTTGTATAAAACGGTCATCTTGAGGTCTACGGCGTCCTCTCACCCCAGGTAGGCGTTCATGCTGTGGAGGGTCTGAGGGAGGGATCCACCGCCGCTGCCGTCGGCCATCTTCACCTCAGCCAGACTGGTCTTCTGGAAAAATGAAAGTGGGGCTTTTTGAATGATGAGAATAGAGCATTTCCAATTTGATCAACACTAATCTAAAACTACTCATTATAAGCATTGCATAAGAAGAGTCCTCAAAGTGTTGAATATAGAGCGTAGAATCGTGAGTTATAGAGTTAGATGGAGAAAACTTAAACTAAAATGATCAGAGACTCAGTAAAATAGATCAGTTTGCTAAGTTATTTCATGGCTCTTTTACTGCTTATTATGCTAATGTGTCTCCATGACTTCCACAACAGAAAAAACAATTACCAGTCCAATTGTAGTCCTGCTTCAGTCCTGCCCTAGTCCTTCTTCAGTCCTGCCCTAGTCCTTCAGTCCTGCCCTAGTCCTCCTTCAGTCCTGCCCTAGTCCTTCAGTCCTGCCCTAGTCCTTCAGTCCTGCCCTAGTCCTTCAGTCCTGCCATAGTCCTTCTTCAGTCCTGCTCTAGTCCTTCTTCAGTCCTGCCCTAGTCCTTCTTCAGTCCTGCCCTAGTCCTTCTTCAGTCCTGCCCTAGTCCTTCTTCAGTCCTGCCCTAGTCCTTCTTCAGTCCTGCCTTAGTCCTTCTTCAGTCCTGCCCTAGTCCTTCTTCAGTCCTGCCCTAGTCCTTCTTCAGTCCTGCCCTAGTCCTTCTTCAGTCCTGCCCTAGTCCTTCTTCAGTCCTGCCCTAGTCCTTCTTCAGTCCTGCCCTAGTCCTTCTTCAGTCCTGCCTTAGTCCTTCTTCAGTCCTGCCCTAGTCCTTCTTCAGTCCTTCTTTAGTCCTGCTTTGTTATTAAAAACTACTCTTGCTACGCCAACCATATAATATTTAAAAGCATTTAGGACACTGATATATACCAGTCCAATTGTAGTCCTGCTGTAGTACTACCCTAGTCCTTCTCAGTCCTGCTCTAGTCCTTTTTCAGTCCTGCCCTAGCACAATGAGTGTTCACGCAGAGGACTTGGCTTCATTGAAAACTTTAATTTGTTCTGGAATAGGCACGAGCTTTTTGAAGAAAAAGGCCCACATCTGAACAACTACGGAGTAAAAGTGCTGATGGATAACTTTGCATCTGCCCTAAGACCTCAGCCTGCGCAGCGCGTGCAGCTGTCGAAAGGGAGAAAGAAGAAGCAAAGGGCACAGACATCACGACCATCTCCACCGACTCCCGAGGTCTCTGCACCCCCACCGCCTCAAAAGAACTCCACACCTCCACGATTCAAGAAGAACTCAACACCTCCAAGGTTCCAAAAGAACTCAACACCTCCACGGCTTCGAAAGAGCTCAACGCCTCCACCCCCAGCATCATCAGCAGCTGCCACATCTTCATCAGCGCCATCAGCATATACAGCACCACCAGCAGCAGTGGATACAGCCGCAGCAGTGGCTGCTCCATCATCTTCAGCAGCAGCAGTGGCTGCTCCATCATCTTCAGCAGCAGCAGTGGATACAGCAGCAGCAGTGGCTGCTCCATCATCTTCAGCAGCAGCAGTGGATACAGCCGCAGCAGTGGCTGCTCCATCATCTTCAGCAGCAGCAGTGGCTGCTCCATCATCTTCAGCAGCAGCAGTGGATACAGCAGCAGCAGTGGCTGCTCCATCATCTTCAGCAGCAGCAGTGGCTGCTCCATCATCTTCAGCAGCACCTTCCCCACCTACAGCTCCCGTGAAGCTTCCCCCATTACTCCAGGCTACAGTCAGGCCTGTACTGGGGGTTCCTCAACCACCTCTGTCTCCACCAAAGACTCCCTCATCACCTTCCATGGACCCGGCTTGGGTCCCCCCCGCTACATCCACTCCATCTAGGGAAAATGAGGACGACCTTTCCCTTTGTTTTCTATCCCCGCCTTCACTACTGGATTTACCGGAAAACTCTGCAGGCATGATAAGATCGGCGATGAAGACTATTCCTCTCACACCCACTGTAGCCAGATCAAGAGTCCTATCTAACATTCAAAACTACTCCCCATACGTACCTCCAAAGCCACCTAGGGCGTCCAACTCAAATTCTCCCACAAAATCCACCCGTCCCTCCTCTAACCCCATAAGTATTCCACCCCCCCCTCCTGCTCATTTAGCCCACCCCCCCCCCCCCTAACTCAGCACCAAGAAACCCTCCACCTCCACTCCCCCCTCGTCCACCACCCAACTCAGCCTGCCCCTCCCCTAACCCATCACCAAAAACCCATCCACCTTCAACCCCTCCCCGTCCAACTCCCAAGAACCACCCGCCTCTCCATCCTCCTCCCGCGCCTTCCCCTTCCCCTCTTTTCTCTAAACACTAGGATGCACAGGGTCTCTGCTTCGCAGCCACTGGCAGTCTAGTTAGAGGAGAGACCCGGCTGGGGCCCTGTCATGAAGCCACCTGTGCCATTCCCTTAGTGATAACACAAAGAATACATAACAGAAAAACATCTGGAGTTAATCAGTCTAATCAGGAAAATCTAATTCTTGTTCCGTGTAAGAATCAGCCGACCACAACCGCTGATCCTGAAACTTTGAAACTTGCTATGCTAAATGTCAGATCTCTTTGTAACAAGTCTTTTTTAATCAATAATTGTATTTGTTCTTATAATCTAGATCTTATGTTCATGGCTGAAACATGGCTTGACCAAAATACAGAAAATGCAGTTTTAATAGAAGCATCACCACCAAATTTCAAATTTGAATCTGAAATACGGGAAAACAAAAAAGGAGGAGGCTTAGCTGCCATTTTCAGAGACCACAAGGCACTTTGAGTTGCCTTGTGTATGAATTGTGCTATACAAATAAACTTGCCTTGCCTTGCCTTGCCTTCTTCAGTCCTGCCCTAGCTCTTCTCCAGTCCTGCCCTAGCTCTTCTTCAGTCCTGCCCTAGCTCTTCTCCAGTCCTGCCCTAGCTCTTCTTCAGTCCTGCCCTAGTCCTTCTCCAGTCCTGCCTTAGTCCTTCTCCAGTCCAGCCCAAGTCCTCCTTCAGTCCTTCTTTAGTCCTGCTTTGTTATTAAAAACAACTCTTGCTCCGCCAACCATATAATATTTAAAAACATTTAGGACACTGATATTTCACAATGTTCTGCTTCTACATTACTGTCTTTAGAGGAAAAGGCACAAATTACCTTATGATGATTAAAGTTAAGTTTCCTACCTTTTAAATCAAGTACTATTCTATTTTTACTTGTCGTGTGGTCGTACGTGGGGCATGAGGTCGTCTCCTGTCACCACGGCGACCTTCATCTGGAGACCTGCTTTCTTCACCACTTCCTGTATGGCTTCAGCGCAGGCGAGAGGATTCACTCCTCCAGCATTGCTCACCACTCGAATCCCTGCGAGCAAAAACAAGATGTGTTTGTAATCTGTGTGACAGGTTACACAAGTGCAATGTTTACATCAGAGACACAATGTTTATACTTACTTCTTTTTATGGTAAAGTTTTTAGTTAGGATAGCGTTATTGTTCATTTATCTTTTGTTGTGTGCTACTCATTCCTACTGTTCTGTGATGCAACACTGACATTTCCCCTCTGCAGGACGAGTTAAGGATCTCTTAATCTTAATCTTATAAGGTTGAAGATCATATTTAAGCATCCTAAACCTGTTTTTAAATTAAAAAATATTTAGCACTGTAATGCAAATGTACACCAAGGGAAAAAAAATATTAGTGGAGCATGCAAATCCAGAAAGTTTATCTCAATCTGTGGAGCTCACCTTTTTTGTGGATGTCGTTGATGAACGGAGCCAGAGCGACTTGGACAAAGTCTGGAGCGTATCCCATGTTCTGGAAAACACAGCAGCAGCAGTCGACTCAGTGGACAGGGGCAAGAGGTATAACAAACACCTTTTGATCATATTTTTAACTGACCGAAACTTTGGTTTTGGCAGCAGTCAGCAGCGACATGGTGATCTCACTCAAATAGTCAAAAACCAGGAAGTCCAAGCGCCCCCCATAGACCAGCTGAGGTACTGTGGAAGGGGCAGAAGTCAAAACAAACATGTAATGAATGTGTGAATATGATTACATCAGGGTCTCATTAACAATGCATTCCTTTTATATAGCATTTTTTGTAAACTAAAAGGCACTTCACATTATATATTAACACCCCACAGTGGTGATAATCTCCTATAGTAGCCACAGCTGCCAGATTTCTGACAGACATGAGGCAAACAGTATCAGCTCCTCCAACCACCACATGCAAACCAGATTAATTTGAGGCAAGGTGGGTAAAGTGTCTTGCACAACAACAGTTTGACTCTTTGCAGTTGCAGCCACCCCACTGTGACACCTGCTGTTCCCAGAGGTCTCACATCACACTCTTATCCAGGCGCTGCCCTATTTGAGGTCTGACAGGATTTGGCTTTAACATATAGGTGGCGCCACAGCAACACAGGAGATCAAAAAACTTCGAAGAGACTGGGTGCTCCCAGTTAGAGTGAGGAGTTCAAGTACCATCTGTTACCAGCTGACCATCACCGTGGGGCGTGTCCCACCGGGAGGAAGAAGACCCGGGGCAAGCTGGAAGTCTACTGTATGTCTGTCAGCTGGCCTGGGATTTCTCTGAATTAAGCTGCTGCCACCAATGGATAAATCAGAAGCAAATTTAAACTTTATGAAACAGCAACCCTAACCTGTCCATAAATATAATGCTTAATCTATTTTATCTTTGTCAGTCATTGCCAAATATTTGAAATACCATATTACTAACTAGTAATGGCAGTAGTGGTAGTTGTAGTAGTAGCAGTAACATATGTAGCAGCAACCGTAGTAGTAGTAGTGGTAATAGTAATAGTAGTAGTACTGTAGTAGTAGTTAGCAGTAGTAGTAGTTAGCAGCAGTAGTAGTAGTTAGCAGCAGTAGTAGTAGTAGTTAGCAGCAGTAGTAGTAGTAGTTAGCAGCAGTAGTAGTAGTAGTAGTAGTAGTTAGCAGCAGTAATAGTAGTAGTTAGCAGCAGTAGTAGTAGTAGTAGTAGTAGTTAGCAGCAGTAATAGTAGTAGTTAGCAGCAGTAGTAGTAGTAGTAGTAGTAGTTAGCAGCAGTAGTAGTAGTAGTAGTAGTAGTAGTTAGCAGCAGTAATAGTAGTAGTTAGCAGCAGTAGTAGTAGTAGTAGTAGTTAGCAGCAGTAATAGTAGTAGTTAGCAGCAGTAGTAGTAGTAGTAGTAGTAGTAGTTAGCAGCAGTAATAGTAGTAGTTAGCAGCAGTAGTAGTAGTAGTAGTAGTAGTTAGCAGCAGTAGTAGTAGTAGTAGTTAGCAGCAGTAATAGTAGTAGTTAGCAGCAGTAGTAGTAGTAGTAGTAGTAGTTAGCAGCAGTAGTAGTAGTAGTTAGCAGCAGTAGTAATAGTAGTAGTAGTAGTAGTAGTAGTAGTAGTAGTAGCAGCAGTAGTAGTAGTAGTAGTAGTAGTAGTAGTAGTAGTAGTAGTAGCAGCAGTAGTAGTAGTAGCAGCAGTAGTAGTAGTAGTAGTAGTAGTTAGCAGCAGTAGTAGTAGTAGTAGTAGTAGTTAGCAGCAGTAATAGTAGTAGTTAGCAGCAGCAGTAGTAGTAGTAGTAGTAGTAGTAGTAGTAGTAGTAGTAGTAGTAGTAGTAGTAGTAGTAGTAGTAGTTAGCAGCAGTAGTAGTAGTAGTAGTAGTAGTAGTAGTAGTAGTAGCAGCACAAGAGCAAAAGTGACTTCTCTGCAGTTTTTACCTGAAGTTGCAGTGTCTCCCCAGAACCCAGACGCACATCCGATCCGCACCGTTTGCTTCGCTGAACTCTGCGCATAAAACCTGTGACTGTTTGCGCTTGTTCTGTTTCTTTGCGTCACATTAGCTGCAGATTCGCTAAAGTGTGAAGAGGACACGTCAATAAACCTTATTTTAGCGCAAATCTGGGACCTCCGAAGCCGTGACAGCCCCTTACACGTCTCATTTCGACCCAAACGGAGCGAGCAGGGGAGAAGCGCCATCATTAACAGGATCTATGGATGTGGGATTAAAACGAGAACGCGGATGAAGAAAGGAGAAGTGTGGAAAAGTTCAAGGAGCGCTGGACCAGTGCGTCCACAAAAACAGTCCGACTGGAAACATCCAACTTTTCCATTCAAAATACTTTTTTTAGACAAAACATAAAATCTACATCCTGATAATGAGGGGGAATATATAACCAAGCCACTATATTTTCTCTTCAATAATGTCACTTTATAATTGCCTCTGGACACTCACATTAATAATCTGCACTGTTTTTATGCATGCCCTTTAACAAATCAAATTTCTCTTTTATAATACCAGACTTCTGATTTTGAATATGTGCTAAATGCTAACGCTAAAGCCACTTTTGAAGCGTGCAGTGCGATACTTTAGCTCATAATTCCAAACTATTACAAACATTGTTTATCCTGATTGGGTTAGTGGATTCACAAATAATTCATTCAGTAAAATTAATCAAAATTATATGTTGATTTATATTGTAGTCAGGAATCATCCAAAATTATATGTGCGAACTGCTTTCACATACTAATGTAGGGCAGAAAAAAAATGGGTGTCGCTTTAAAATATGTCCGACGCTATCCCGCATTGACCTGTGGGGGCAGTCTCTCTGCGGGGGTACTGGTCGCTCTTCTTTCCGACAGAGTTCAGGAAAAGCTCTTTGTAAAGTCCTTGTTTTATTTCTCCGATTGAGAATTTACACACGTTAACACAGCCGTGGAAACCAGCACTGAGGACATTTGATTCTCTTTTGGACGTGGAGAACTTTCACGGAAACACTACAACCAGGAAGTAAGCATTTAAACTCACCTTTGTACCTGTCAGACTGGATAGATCACAATTGAATATAGTTGAATTAGGACATTTTGAACGATTAAATAAGTTATAACTGTGAAAACCATGTGACTACGTCTTAACCTGCTGTACATGAAGTATAAACTATTGCTGAACCAATTGTTATTTATCATAATAAACTATGACATCATCCGACTTAATTTGTTTCTAAATGTATAGGTTTAAAACATTATTTTGGACTCAACCATAAAATAAGTGGCATTTTGTCAGTTTCTTTAAGTTGAAATTGCTCAGATAAGGGTCTTTTTTGATTACAATTATTAAATTCTACATTTTGTGAGCTTGGATTTTTGTTCATTTAGTTGAATTGATCAGAATTAAAGTAGCAGGAGTAGAAGTAATTAATAGTATGGGGTAAGCTCTTTCCATACACATGCTTACTACATAATTTTGCGCTCTGACATGTATGTATTAGATACAAATTGTGTAAATAGTGGTTCTAGGGTTAGTTTCTGTACTTAATGTACTATATAGTGAGTCTTTAAAGTTTTAAGATTTAAAGCTTTCCTTTTTCCTTAAATGCACCACGAAATGTGACTTGCATTGAGAACTGTGAGCGGTATTATCAGTTATCAGCAATTTTGAACACACAGGAAGTCAATGACACAGTATTTTTTACCACTGCTTTAGATCAAAACGTCTGCATACACAACAAAATGTAAATTATATTGTAAATGTAAATTTAAAAGTTTTAACAATTCACATAAACCCCAATCGAAAAAAGGAAAATACATATATACTGTATATATGTTAAACTAAATCACATTTTGTTTCTGTCTAGCTCTCACAGCTGAGGAGGGAGTCGTGGTGGAGATCATGTCCGCAGCAGAAGGACTCAAAGCGGCCGTGAGGCAGAGGCTGGAGGGGGTTCTTGTGGAGGTACTGGGGCTGATCCAGACCACGATGGAGCAATACGAATCTGAATTGAAGCAGAGCAGAGAAGAGGTGGAAAGGCTGAGGGGGCCAAGAACGCTGCGGCTGCGGACGGAGATGACTGAGCTGACCAGCGAATCAGGTCAGAAGAGAGACATGCTCTTAATTATGACCTTTGTGATTTCAATAATGTGAGATAATTGTATAAGTATGTACACAGTATTTAAACTTAGAAGAATAGTAACACCCCCATGAATAAGTGGGAAAGAGCATTTTAGCAAACATAAAACATGGTGCTGCCCAATCGAAGGCAAGCAGATGTAAAGTTCCCGCAGAACAAAAACACATGTGTTTTGCCCAAAAACCCTGGGGCGCCCTTTCCTCACACACTGAGTGACACAGGCTGGTGTACTGAAAGGACTCACCATTTTGTTGAGGCATGTTAAGTGTAATATTTTACACAGCAGTAAAACAAAGCTACCCCATTACTTACATTTGAATCCTGTATTGAAGGTTACAAGACTACACACAAAGTTCATAATGACAGCGTAAAAAGCAGCAACAAGAGTGAAGCTCTTTCAAAGTTTGGGCTTTTGTATTTGCTGCTCTTTCCTCAATAAAGTTGTCCTTGTAAAAATATGTTTGAAAATATTTCCAATTGCTCCATTGAGATTCCCTGATTAGAAGTGTTTTAAAAATCAGAACTTTTATTTTGACCCGTTCTTGTCTTCCCCGTGGTGCAAAGCAGATTCAGGTCAAACAACACGCTTATATTTCCCTCTGCTATCCCTTGTCAGCATACCATTTCAAAATGTGTCAAAAACCCAGGTGTGCAGTGTGAAAAGAGTATTTGATAGGAGAAACAACATGTCTTCATAGTCTTAGAATTCATCAGAGCATAACAAGTTTTGAGATAAGAGCGTTTAGATAGAAGGGGCGGGGGGATGTGTTTGATGCAAAAAAATACATGATCTGAATGGACTTGAATTGAAATATTTTGATCTGAGGAGAATTACTTAAATACTTGTGCAATTTTTTAAAATCTAAGTGAGTAATAGTATGTAAATGTATTTATCAACACAAAACATATATTTATAGTTGATTTTTTGCAGTTGATGAGTCCACAGGAGCTACCTGTGGACTCATCAACTGCAGGAGGATCAGTGAGGGGCTGGTGCTATGTGAATGGGTGCAGCTCTGACTGCCACCCCCCGAGCCAGAAATGGATTAAGGGGAAGAAAATGGATGGATGGAGGATTTAAACAGTTGGATAAGTCACATAATTTGTTGTTATACTAGCTATGTTACATCTGTTATCTACCTTGGTCTGTGCTTCATGATTTCATCTTCACACGATACTGGGACGTTTTTAAATTATGTGCATTCAATTTCCATCATTTGTTTTCCAGAAAACGAGCGAAACGAGATCTATATTGTGGCAAGTATCAAACAGGAACAACCTGAGCGGCCCACAGCCACAAAGTCTTTTCCCCACAACCAAAACCATGAGAATCCAACCTCCAACCACAACTTGAAGTCTGAAGACAGCGAGGAGGAGTGTCCCATCTGCAGGAGCCTGGATCAAGAACGAAATGACTCAGGTTAAACATAGACATGAACTAAAGCTACAATTAATCAAATGTATTCATCCTAAAGGCAGTTTGTGGATCTCTGGTCATGTAAACCAGTGGTTCCCAACCTTTTTAGCATGGAAATTGCATATTATTTAATTGTTTTCTTGAGAATATTAGTTTTAAAATTGTGTAAAATGCTATCCTATATTAACCTACTGCTATAGTCTCAATGCTTGCAATAATGATCATTTAAAATGGATGTACATTTATGCTGTACTAAAAAAACACTTTCATTTAGAATATCTTCCAGTAATTTCATAAATGTAACCAAATTTCTAGTTTTAAAAAAATGATCAAAAAGGTTGATTGCAAGTACTTTGAACAGTGTCTTGTTTTTTTCTTTCAGCTCTGATCAACGCTGAAGATAGTCCAGCTTCAATCCAACCACAAGAGACTGAAAAAACAGCAGTGAAAAGCGAGGAGGAAGAACGAGGCTTATCTGACACGAACAAACCGCACCAAGATCTGAACGAGCAAGAGAAACGAGAAGAGGGGAGACATTTGCCAACAACAAGTCAAGACAAGACTAATGGCAGAATCTCCTCAACAAACAGTGAAACAACTGGTGGCTCAAGTCTTGAAAACGATCTTGCGATGAACAAAGCAAATATCAACGCAACAACACAAAAAGATCCCAAAATCAGTGACGGACAGAAAGACGCAGAAAAGTCAAGTGGTGGTAATTCTGCTGAGAAAGCTCTGTCTTCACTTGAGGGAAAGAGTTCCGAAGGCAATGATGGTTTGGTTGGCGCAAGAAAAATGGATGGGACTTGTAGAGACCAAGAGAGACTGAAGGAAGGTAGTAATTCGCAGAAGGCTGTAAAAAGAAAAGCAACCGATCAAGACCAGGAGATTGCGTCGAAACGCAGAAAAGACTGTTCTAAATCAGTGGATTGTGAGAAAGTTGCGACAGAGAGAGAATACCAGAAGGAAGCCAATTTGGTTGTGCATAGCTCGCTTTCAAATTCTGCTGAGAAAGGGTTGTCTACGAGGGAAGAAATCGGTAAAAGTAGAAGTTTAGATCCAAAAAGTCACGGGAGTAAGTCGTTAAATGTAGAAGATCGAGTGCAAGATATGGTGAGAAATCTGCCCACTGTCAGGCTAATACCCCTGGAATTTTTCAACAAAACTCAAAGAAGTAAAGTACAATTGAAAAAACCTACCAGCAGCAAGACAAAATTAAGTCAAAAGCAAGATGGCGTCCAGAATTCTGAAAGTTCGCAAAAATCCAAAATAACAAAAATGAAGGATAAATCAAAGACCGTTGCAGGGAGAAGTTCAGATTTTCTGAAGTCACCAACGCAGAGTTCCAGTTCTAAGAAACCTGCACAAAAAGAACATGGAAAGAAAGGTAGTGATGATTTGTTGAGAAAGGAGCAAAAACAGAAAAAGGCTTTAAATGCAGAGCAAACTAGAGTTGGTTTGGTGGGTTCTTCTGTTACAAATCATTCCCAATACAAGTCACGAGAGTCAGGAAAGAGTAAAGTCGATGGGGTTTCACGAACAACCCAAATGCCTACAGTTTTGCAGTCAAGTCCAGTTACCAAAGAGCACAAAGCAAAAAGTCTGAAATTGAATTCAAACAGAGGAACTAATAGTCCGCTTGAAAAAACTGTGAAAGAAATAGATCATTCTGGTAAAGCTGGAGAGACCTCGCAAAATGTAAGTGACAGAGGAGCTTCAGGAGCAAATGGAACGGTAAAGGATCTGGCAAAGTCTGTACAAAAGACACAATTAAAAAGTAAAGCTGAACACGAGTGCTCTCAATGCGGTACAATTTTCCGTCTGAAGGGAAATCTACTCAAGCATTTGGTCATGCATCAAGAAGAGCGTCCGTTTGAGTGCTCTCAATGTGACTCGAGATTCAAACGTAAGACGACTCTGAAGGAGCACATGTCCATTCATTCAGACGAGAAACAGTTCAAGTGCTCTGTGTGCCCAAGAACTTACACCCGGAAGTCTAATTTGAGCGATCACATGAAAACCCACCTTGAACAGGCCCGTCCATTCAGCTGCTATATGTGTTCGTGCGCTTTTACCTGCAGAAGTAATCTCCGCAGGCATATAATAGCGCATTCCGGCTTGCGGCCGTTCAGGTGCGACATGTGCGGTAAAAGCTTCGGCCGCAAGTCAATCTTACAAGACCACGTCAGGTCGCACACCCGGGAAAAACACTTCAAGTGTTTGATTTGTAATATGAAGTTTACGACTAAGACTATCCAGCAGAGACACACGCGGCTTCATGACCATAAACGGAAGTTCAGGTGTACGGTGTGCACAGCGGCTTTCAATCAAAATGGGCATTTGCGTCAACACATGCTGCGGCACACGGGCGAGAAACCTTACAGATGTTCAGTCTGTGAAAAAACGTTTACTCGGAAAGCTTACCTTAAAACGCACTGCCAAAAGTACTGCCACAGACCCGCCCACCCAGAAGACCACAGCGACAAACAGGAACCAGAGGCTGCGCACTAAAATGAACCCTCCGCGGGCGGTTATCCCTCTCTAAGCTCGGGTCCTCTACCAGAGGCCAGGGAGCTTGAGGGTTCTGCGCAGTATCTTTGCTGTTCCTAGCACTGCACATTTCTGGACCGAGATGTCCGAGGTTGTTCCGGGGATCCGCTGTAACCACTCATCTAGCTTCGGGGTCACTGCCCCGAGTGCACCGATCACCACGGGCACTACTGTCACCTTTACCCTCCAGGCCCTCTCCAGCTCCTCTCTGAGACCTTGGTATTTCTCAAGCTTTTCATGTTCTTTTTTCCGGATGTTACCATCGCTTGGAATTGCCACGTCCACCACCACGGCTGTCCTCTGCCCTTTGTCTACCACCACGATGTCAGGTTGGTTTGCCATTACCATTCGGTCGGTCTGTATCTGGAAGTCCCACAGGATCTTCGCACGCTCATTTTCCACCACCTTTGGAGGAGTTTCCCACTTAGACCTTGGGGTTTCCAGCCCATACTCTCCACAGATGTTTCTGTACACTATGCCAGCCACTTGGTTATGGCGTTCCATGTAGGCCTTCCCTGCCAGCATCTTGCACCCTGCAGTTATGTGTTGGATCGTCTCAGGTGCCTCTTTGCACAACCGACACCTTGGGTCTTGTCTGGTGTGGTATATCTGGGCCTCTATCGCTCTGGTGCTCAGTGCCTGTTCCTGTGCAGCCATGATGAGTGCCTCTGTGCTGTCCTGTAGGCCAGCCCTTTCTAGCCATTGGTAGGACTTCTTGAGATCAGCCACTTCTGTTATGCTCCGGTGGTACATGCCGTGTAGGGGCTTGTTCTCCCATGATGGGCTCTCCTCCAGCACCTCCTCATCTCGCCACTGCCTGAGACATTCACTGAGTACGTCATCCGTTTTGGCCTTCTCCATGATGTAGTTATGGAGTTTGGATGTTTCGTCCTGGACAGTGGCTCTCACACTCACTAGTCCTCGGCCTCCTTCTTTACGGCTTACGTACAGTCTCAGGGTGCTGGATTTGGGATGGAACCCGCCATGCATGGTAAGGAGCTTTCGAGTTTTAACATCCGTGGTCTGAATCTCTTCCTTTGGCCACCTGATTATTCCTGCAGGGTATCTGATCACTGGCAGGGCGTAGCTGTTAATTGCCCGGGCCTTGTTCTTGCCATTGAGCCGGCTTCTTAGGACCTGCCTTACTCGCTGGAGGTATTTGGCAGTTGCCGCTTTCCTCGTCACCTGTTCGAGGTTGCCATTTGCCTGTGGTATACCGAGATACTTGTAACTGTCCTCAACGTCTGCTATTGTTCCCTCTGGGAGTGAGATCCCTTCTGTGTGGACTACCTTGCCTCTCCGAGTCACCATCCTGCTACATTTCTCGAGCCCGAATGACATCCCGATGTCATGGCTGTAGATCCTGGTTGTTTGGATCAGAGAGTCGATGTCTCTCTCGCTCTTGGCGTACAGCTTGATGTCATCCATGTAGAGGAGGTGACTGATCTTTGCTCCGTTCCTGAGGCGGTATCCATAGCCAGTCTGGTCAATTACTTGGCTTAGAGGGTTGAGGCCTATGCAGAACAGTAGTGGGGACAGAGCATCTCCTTGGTAGATACCACATTTGATGGTCACTTGTGCGAGCGGCTTGCCATTTGCCTCAAGGGTAGTCTTCCACATTCCCATCGAGTTTGCAACAAAGTCCCTTAGAGCCCTGTTGATATTGTACAACTTCAAGCATTCCATGATCCATGTGTGTGGCATTGAGTCGTAGGCTTTCTGGTAATCAATCCAGGCTGTGCACAGGTTGGTGTGTCGTGACCGGCAGTCTTGGGCGACTGTTCTGTCAACCAGGAGCTGGTGTTTGGCTCCTCTGGTGTCCCTACCAATGCCCTTCTGTGCTGTGCTCATGAATTGTTCCATATGCCCACTTATCTTAGCCGCAATGATGCCTGACATGAGCTTCCATGTTGTGGAGAGACAGGTTATTGGCCGGTAGTTGGAGGGGACTGCACCCTTGACAGGGTCCTTCATGATCAGGACCGTTCGCCCTTCGGTTAGCCATTCTGGGTGAGTCCCATCTCTCAGCAGCTGGTTCATTTGTGCTGCTAGGCGCTCATGGAGTGATGTGAGTGTCCTTAGCCAGTAGGCATGGACCATATCAGGGCCAGGTGCTGTCCAGTTTTTCATACCTGAGACTCTTTCTCGGATGTCTGCCTCTGTGATGGTAACTGAGTTCTGTTCTGGGAGGTGGCTGTGCTCCTCTCTCAGGGACACCAGCCATTGTGCACTTCTGTTATGTGCTGCATCCTTCTCCCATATGTTCCTCCAGAACTGTTCAGTTTCCAGCCTCGGTGGATCTGCTCCCCTGTTGTTACCCTGCCACTGAGCGTACACCTTCGCAGGTTGTGTTGCGAACAGCCTGTTCACCCTTCTGGCTTCATTCTCTTTAGTGTACCTCTGTAGGCGGCTGGCCAGGGCTTGGAGCCTTTGTTTGGCAGTTTCGAGTGCTTCAGGTATGGTCATCTGGCTGTACTTTCTGGGTACTGGTCTTTTCATTGCACCTCTCTGGGCCTCTGTTAATTGACTCACTTCTCTCCGAGCCGCCTTGATCTTAGCCTCCAACCGTCTTTTCCATGGTGGGTATTGTCCATGGCTCCCATGGTTGCTCTTATAGCCAAGCATCTCTAGGATCACTGCTGCTGAAGTGTATATCAGCTCATTGGTTTCAGTGATTGTGGTGGTAGGTATTGCCCTCACTGCTGCATTCACGCTTTCTATGAGATCCTTAGGTGGTACTTCACACAACCGCTGTAACCGGTGTCTTTGCCCTGTGCCCATTCTAGCCATGATCTTAGCTTTCAGGTCAGTCGCTGCCTCGTTCAGCGTTATCGGTTCCATTGGGGCTATGTACCCAATATCTGGTTGGGGAGTTGCAGTTGGTGGGATCTCCCCTCTGACCTCGGCAACTGTGGCATCATATATGTGTTGTACTTCATCAATCTCAAGCTGTGATAGCAGTTGCCGTTTGTGGATGTTGGAGCATTGAGCTACCAGTTGTTTCGGGGTCAACTGTGACTGTGGGTTTCGAAGTAACCATTCAGCCCACATTCTCTGCATGTAACCTCTTTGGCCAGGGTTACTCGAGTAGTAGCATTCCAACAGAGCCCTGTTATCGCATCTCGTCCACTTTCGCCTTGTTCCAGTAGCCCACTTTTCATCAAGGTGCTCTGGTTCCCCAGCACCTGACGCAGACCTTGTTTGGCCGGGCGACGGCTGATCCGGCATCTCATTGCTTATTTGTACCTTCATGGTTATGAGTTAGGCAGTAGCATGTTGTGCGAGCACTTTAATGTTTTTGCACTTATATAGATCTGTTTTAGTTGGTCAACTTCACAGTGACATTTGTTTACTGTTTTTAAAATTTGTTTTATTTTTGTCTTTTAATGTTGTTTTATGTCTGTACTTGTCCTGTGCACACTGGGAACTTTTACTAATGTATTCCAATGTAGTGTTACTGCAAATGGCGAATAAAATGAATCTGAATCTGAATCTGATTAAGGGTCTTGATGTCTCAGGCAGTGGCGAGATGAGGAGGTGCTGGAGGAGAGCCCATCATTGGAGAACAAGCCCCTACACGGCATGTACCACCGGGGCATAACAGAAGTGGCTGATCTCAAGAAGTCCTACCAATGGCTAGAAAGGGCTGGCCAACAGGACAGCACAGAGGCACTCATCATGGCTGCACAGGAGCAGGCCCTGAGCACCAGAGCGATAGAGGCCCAGATATACCACACCAGACAAGACCCAAGGTGTCGGTTGTACAAAGAGGCACCTGAGACGATCCAACACATAACTGCAGGGTGCAAGATGCTGGCAGGGAAGGCCTACATGGAACGCCATAACCAAGTGGCTGGCATAGTGTACAGAAACATCTGTGCAGAGTATGGGCTGGAAACCCCAAGTGGGTCTAAGTGGGAAACTCCTCCAAAGGTGGTGGAGAATGAGCGTGCGAAGATCCTGTGGGACTTCCAGATACAGACCGACCGAATGGTAATGAACCAACCTGACATTGTGGTGGTGGACAAAGGGCAGAGGACAGCCGTGGTGGTGGACGTGGCAATTCCAAGCGATGGTAACATCCGGAAAAAAGAACATGAAAAGCTTGAGAAATACCAAGGTCTCAGAGAGGAGCTGGAGAGGGCCTGGAGGGTAAAGGTGACAGTAGTGCCCGTGGTGATCGGTGCACTCGGGGCAGTGACCCCGAAGCTAGAAGAGTGGTTACAGCGGATCCCCGGAACAACCTCGGACATCTCGGTCCAGAAATGTGCAGTGCTAGGAACAGCAAAGATACTGCGCAGAACCCTCAAGCTCCCAGGCCTCTGGTAGAGGACCCGAGCTTAGAGAGGGATAACCGCCCGCGGAGGGCCAAAGGTGAGAATTATGTTTTTTTTTTTTTTTTAAATGCAGCTGATTAATACAGATTTGGTGTGTGTGACTGTGCAACAAAAGTATTGCTACTACTAGTAATACAATTGCATTTATCATTTACTACTTCATACTTTCTTTCATTTTATACTTGGAGTAAGTAATATTATTACTGATTATGATCCCGCTCAGCAACTAATTTGGAAGCTCACGTACACAGTAGCTCAGTTCTATGAAGTCTTGTTGAAGTCTAAACCAGGACTAAACAAAGCCTGTACCACGGTCCTGTGTGAGACGCCTTCACTCTCTTTTATTTGTCCTTTATCTATTTTTGGACTTTTGTTTGTGTTCAATCCATCTTTTGAACAGGCCGAGGCGCGACACGAGGACTGCATTCATCCTGGAAATATGGGAACATTTATGAAAATGTGATGAACGAGTTTTCCCCTGGGTGAAACCACAGCAGCATTTACAACGTCTGGACAAAGATAAAGTAGTTTGTCTGTATTGTGTTTGTGGCTTCGAAGAACTCAATAGTGACTAAACTTCTCTTATCTTTATCAAGTTGATCATAAAATTACATCTCAAAACAT